TAGTATAGCAGTCTATACTAGCCTAGTACTTGGTGCGATCAGGGTTAACGGCTTAACCCAAGGAATTTATTTGGTAACCAAACTTTCAAAATCCAATAGAGATAATCAATACAGAATATTTCTTTTCAGATATTTCCATTTTCTGAAGGCTTTTTCTGGTCTGTGCCCACTGCTGTCTGTTCTATTTTGTTCTTCACTTTCCTCCTATTCATGCTCTTAATACCACCCAACAGACTTCTAGGCTGCCTCTGTTCTTTTAATCCAAACTCCAGCTACAAGCAGCTGTTCTGTAGGCAGACTTTTTTTTATTAACTTTGTTAGGAACTATGCCGTATCATATTACCCTCTTCTGTTCAGCCTGTGCAGCTGTAGTCATTGCTTTCCACAGAAATCTTTACAGAAAGCCATAACCTCTCTTTTCTCAGTAGATTTGTGTGTGTGTGTGTCCTTTGCTGCCCTTAGGTTATCTTTGCATTGTGAATAAGATTTTTTCTAGCAAGTGTTTTTGTTAGTTTAAACCAGTTCCACTGGCCAAGTTCAACTTGATCTGAGTCTTTGCACAGTACCAGTGCTTTTTCTACCAGGAATTTCCTTTCATTTAGGTTCTCAAAAAATTAATCTCAGAGCAGTCTACCGGTTTTGGAAGGGCTGATTAGCATTGCAACCAGACAAGAATAAGGCAGCAAGGCCAAGATCTGTGAAAGTAACTTCTATTGAGGTGCGTAGCTTCCTGTCGACTTCAGTAGGAGTTCAGGCACGTAAATAACTTTTAGGAGCTTAAAATCCCGTGTAGATCTGGCTTCAGGCACTTTTCATTGAAATTTAGCCATTATGTGAACAATGGTAGATGAACCTGAAAATACCTCATTCCTCTTCCAGTCCAGCAACTGAATTCACCAGCATTTCATGGCTAGTGTCTCTGCCAGCTCCCTGACTGTTTTTCAGAAGCTGAATTAGAAGCTATTAAATGGAAAATTAGATAGGGTACATTGCACCAAATGATTCAGACTTAGAAAAACTCCCTACTCCCAGAGCTAGTGGAATCATAGCAAATGCAACAAAATACAATAGGGAAAGACTGTCAGATATGTGATGAGACTTAAGGAATCCTATGTAGGATTCTTGAGAAATTTAAATATGGGATTAGCGCAAGAATGCTAATCAGGGCACAGTCCTCAGCAATTAGCTTCTTACAACACCAGAAGCACAGCCTTTTTCATGCCTTATCTTTCAGTGCATCTCCCTGAAAATCAGGATTAATAGTAAAGTTCCCATTAGGAGCATGTCTAAGCAGCAGTGTATAAAAGCAGATACGTAAGTCTTTATGTATCTTATAGTTCCAGTGTAATCTGAAATAGTAGCTGACAGACACAATTTTTGGCTTCGATAATTTTTACTGTGAACAGTGATCATTTCATCATAGTTAAGTCATGTTTAGAAAATTTAAACAAGCTGCTTGATTACTCTAGGAAGCATGGAATGGTTTGCTCAAATCAGTACCATCTGTGGACAGAAAAAGTTGGGGGAATTTTAGTCATTCTTGAGGAATGGAAATCTGATTCTCCATGCTAGAGTAATTGTAATCCTCTTTGTATCTGTAACCCAATAGCATAGCTGTCTTGAAACTGTCTGTGAACACAGTCATCAAGTGCAAGAGATACTGTGCCACTGGGTGTCACTCCTCTTCACTGTGGCCCTAGGTTCAAACTTCTTTGATGTGCTCCAGATTCAGATCACATCTTTTCATTTGTCCTAATGAGCGATTATATTTATATTTGATATGTCCATGTAAGCAAGGAGATAAAATGATCTTGATTTTAAACGGAATAATGTTTAAGGCTCTGGTTTCATTTTAAAGGTCTGTCTAGGCACTGGCAGAGAAAATTTTACTGTGGATTTTGCTGACTGACCCTTTATTTTGTGGGCTCAGAATATTTTGTTTGTATGCGTCTTAGTAAACTGGAAAAATGACAACATTAAATAGCTACAAAAGCTTTTGTCTGAAAGAAGAAATGGTTGTCTAATCTGTCTGTTATGATGATACCTGCAAGTTTATCTTTAAAAACGATAGTTTTCATGTAGTTTTACTTGCAGATAATCACAGACATCACCTTCAGCCTTGTGAAGGTAACGTGTATGAGCTCCCTTTGTAGTCAGTGGGAAAAAGTATGGATAGAAAGAGAAATAATTTCTCAGCCTTCCATTCTTTCCCCCACTCTCGGTCAGTTTGTCTCTTCTCCAAATACAAGGAAAGCTCATGGAGGCTGGATTTATTAGACTTCTCTTGGTCTGCAGGAGAGCCCACAAATCAGACCCACTCTCATTTAGTCTGATATAATTTCTAGTTCTATGAAAGCCAAGCATCTTTTCCCTCTAAATTGCTAACTCTCAGTTCTTTCTGAAGTCTTCTGTGTTGAAACTAGGGGAACAAAGTACTGTCTTTAAGAAGGAAAGCCCACCATGCTGTCTAGAACACGGGCACTGCTCATTTTATACCTGTGACTAGCCTCTTTAACCTGCCTTGTTTTAGGTGCAGAGACTGCAGTTGTGCCAGCCATGGCTTTACCAGCTGCATGTTTAAGCAAGTGAAGGTATATATTTCCGTATGAACTTCCTATTAACAGTCAGCAAGCAACCAGTTACTATCTACTTCATTACAAGCCCCTGTTTCAGTATTGGAAAGTAGCCCACTAATAAGTTTTCAGCAGATAGAAGTTAGTAATGGGAGACTGAGAGGCATTAAAGCCAATTGTTTCCATCTCCATGTTGCATACTTTCACACTTTTATTCCAAACTCACCAGTGATGGCTGTTCTTATCACAGCAAGATTTCCTGGAGTCATGTCTGGGAAGGTGAGGTCATATTTCTTATCAAAAAAAGAGTAGTAATCCCCTCTGAGTGAGAAAGAGAATTTAATTTTCTTAAATTCTTTTTATTTTTACCTGTTCTGATATCTTTGGAATTTCTGACTTGATTTTTAATTCCTGGAAGACATCATATTGGGCCTTAAAATACTTTAACTCAACTTCAGAGTGAGACTGGGTGATAATTTTTTTTTCACTCAAATAGTTTTATCCATTCTATCCCACATTTTATTGTTGTCATAATTCAGTGTGTAAGATTCATATTTTTTGCAGTGTCTTAGCAGATATTAATAGCTTATATTACAATAGAGTAAGGATTTTTAGAGGAAAGATACAGCTGTATTCTAGTAGCAATTTAGGATTTCTCTGCCCTTATTTTCCACTAATTAAAGGTCAAATTAAGCCCTTTTTTGTAATTTAGACAAACAGCTATTACAGCTTATAGAGTTTTTATGAAAATATTGCAGTGTTTGTTTTTTTTTTTTGAAAGTGGATAAGCGGGGTATTACATCTCCAAATATGTGCACATGCAAAAATAATACTGCATGTTTTGGGTTTTTTTACGACTTTCTGTACTTATCTTTATGCTAATAACAGCAGAGCAAAACAACTTTAATTTTGATAGCATGGGCTATAATGATGGAAGTTGTCTTTGGTGAAGACTTTTTCTTAGTCAGTTTGTTCTTGTTCTGTGTCTGGCTAGTGTATAGCAGGTTGGGAGCATATGGGGCTGTTGCATGCTGTGATGTTGTGGACTTATGTGTGACAGCTGAGTGGAAGGACAGGGGAAGGGCCCACGGTTCTTTGTCTGGTCCCACTCCTGCAGACTCCACCTGCTTTGGGCTCATTTCAAGGGATTTTAATTTCTCAACTTTTTCACCATCACAGCTTGGTTTAACTCATAATTTACACTTCTTGTTAAATATTCAGATTTATTGAAGAAGTTTCAGCTTATTATATTCTGATGATTTCAACAAACAAATTGTTGCAGAAAAAAAAGCAGAGATCAGATATTCCCACAAGGCTGAAAAAAAAGAAAAAGGAAGGTTTTCTCTTTCTTCCCCAGTAATGTTGGTCTGGGATTCTTTTCTTCTTTATGTAAGCCTTGGGACTTCTTCAGTTTCAGTTTGAGGGTGTATCATGTGTTTTTCTTTGACCAGTGATACCTCTTCCCCCAAAGACTTAAAGCACTCTTTAAAGCTAAGTGCACAAAATGATTTCTGAGCTGATTGGCCAGCGCAGTTTTTGCCACAGAGAGTATTGGTATTATCTTACAGAGTCTTAGAGATAATATTAGCTTACCGTATGATTATGTGATATAGCACAAATCCATATGTTGCATCTAGTCTATGAGAGCTGGGAGTACACTGTTGGCTCAATATAGATAGAGTAAATGTGTACACATGTGTATGTATGTACATAACATGCAGTACTTCTGTCTCCATGGACATGAATATAACCTGTATACTCATATATACCTATGTGTATAAATAAAGGATGTATGGAAGCAGCATTTATGGGAAATTTCTTCTTTTTTTGCTCCATATTATGATGTATTCAGCTCTTTCTGTCAGTGTTCTTTTAATTAGTTATTTGCTGAACAACTTGTAAAGCACTTATATAATGCTAGGAAAACATATTGTGTGTATTGATACTTTCCATTCAGAAGGTGAAACAGGAGACTTATGTAATCTCGAGGTATTACATGAGGATTTCATATGTTACCGAGAGAGAGACAAATGAATATTTCTAAGTGAGAAGTGAAGAAGCCCAGTTAGCAACTGCACTGAAAGATGCTATGGGTAGGCCAAAAATAACTTTGCTTGATATTCCCTCCCTCAGTTGAGACATAGCCCCAAATGTAGCAACAGGAATGTCACAGCTCTCAAAGCTGCCCCTGCATGCCACACCTGAAAGTATTATTTTTTGTTTCAAAAACTATTGTAAATGTACGACACCTATATATGTACAGTGTGATTTATGCCAGTGGAATTGCTTCTTGTTAACCATATGAAGTTGAATCTTCATCTTTAGACACGCTTATAAAAATGGTTTTTTTAACACTTGATAAAAGGATTATAGTTGCAATCACTTTTCATTCAAATTAAGATGTTTTACAACTGTTTTAATCTGCAGTTCCTAGTGCTCCCAGGGATATTGTTTTTTCCAATGTGCAATCAACAAGTGTGACTTTGAATTGGAGAACACCAAAATCTATCCTTGGCTACTTTCAAAACTACAAGATTACCACACAGCTACAGTCTGTCCACTGCAGTGACTGGGAAACTAAGGAATGTGTTGAATATGAGATGCATCAATATTTATATGAAAATGTGATGGATGACTGGATAGAAGACACAGTGTATGGACTGAAAAAATACAGATGGTACAGATTTGCAGTTGCTGCCAGTACGAGTGTTGGTTATGGCAGTTCTTCACCTTGGATTTCAACACAAACACTTCCTGGCTGTAAGTAAGGATATCTCCCATGTCTCATAATGCTGTAACAATGTGATATTCACCTAAATAAGCAAGAACACTTGGTAGCAAGTTATTTCTTCATAGACCTACAATATTGGTGAAGTTAATAAGGATTTATTTCAACTCTTCAACTCTGAAACATCATGATATAAATCATGTGGTAGGTATACATACTTAACACTTCTCGATATTTTAATACCTTTTGTATGCTCTATTTTATTTACTGCTTACCTAGCACCAATTTCAATCCTTAGCAATACTCCACATCTAGACTTGGTAAGTCTAAATTTTGGCTAATTTGGGTTGATATGCCATTTTCAATACATCTTCACATGTGGGGCATGTCAATGAAAAGTACTCCTTTTTTAATTCTTTGCCTGAAAGTCTGTTAATCAATATTGTAACACTTTCCTGAAGTTCTGATGTATGTTCTTGGCAATAGAATTTAAGCAATAGTTTCAGAGGAATTAGAGATTTCTTTCCAAGACCATATACACCTATGGAGTTTACAAATCAGAGTAGCCATGTAACTTGTAGAGGATTTCCATGACACATATTAGAACTCTCATGCCTCAGCTGAGGACTGAAGATTCCAAGTAAGAGAAGAGTTGTCACAGATAAGTTGTCATTAAATATTTGAGAGAAGGGGATGTGAAACATGTATTATTTAGGCAGTTGTCATGGGGACAAATGACCTTCCCTACCAGTTTGCAGCCATCCTAGGTCAGATAATATCTGAGATCCAGCCTCTGACTGAATCACAGCTCCTTCACTTATTTCCCCGCACAAAGTAATAATAATAATGGAGATACCAAGGACTTTAACAGCTGTGTACTAGGGATTACTCAAGGGTCCACATATTTATTTTGTTCCACTCATGTTTTTAAAATCATTTGATGTGAATGCAGGAGGCTTTTATGTAATGCTCCTTTTAGTATCTGTGCACTCACTGAACAATAGTACATCCCTCTATTTTTAAATACCTCACATTTCTCTACTAGGAAAGCAAATATTGTCACCTTCATTTGCAGATGAGAAGTTGAAATAGAGAAATTCTAAGCCCCAAAGGGCAAAGAGATTTGGACACCGTGATAGTAAACATCATAACAGCCCGTTTTTCATGTAAAGCACAGAAGCAGTCCTTTGGATTGAGAAGTACTGGAATCAGCTGCAGAGTCATTCTCATGTGTATGTACTTCCTTTGTCCAGTGACTCTTATGGGGATGCTCTGCCTGTAAATTAATGCAATATTTTAATTGAGGGAGAAGAAAAAAAACCCAAATAAACCCAGATGGAGCAGAAAACAACTAACAGAAGTTGTGCAACTCTTGAGTCAGAAGGTCTAGGGAGATGCCTTACCATTAAATTGATAGAATTTAGTTGCTGACATACGCAAATACTTGTTTTCAAAAAATTGTTACTGACTTTAGAAAAGGGGGGATTAAAGCTGGACAGAAAAGCAATAATTAAAACACATATAAATGCATAAAATTAGGATCCTCTTTATTATTTACTCTCTAGACAGTGATAATTTGCTTTAAGAAAGAACTAGTTTCCTGTCAGTCCCACTGAGAAGATGGTAGTTAAAATTATAAAAATCTCATTAGACTGCACAGGCCCTTTCCATGCCAATACAGTGTCATTCTCAGCAGTAGCTCCTCTGCGTGCTCTATTAGACAGTTTAAAGTGGTGGGGTAGAAGTTAAAAAGTTCCATCTGTTCTTCCAGCCCAAGTGTTTGGGGCTGTGTCTGTGATGAGGGAAGTAGGCAGCAACAAATTTCCTGTGAGCTAAACTGGTGACACATCAGGAGATAAGCTGCCTATAAAACACACCTCTGTGGAGTCAAGGAAGCATGGGCACTATTTCAGATATTGTGGCTGGGTGCTGGTCTTTTTCCTGGTATAATGGCAATCAGCTGAGGAGTTAAAAAAGAGGAGGCTGACATGTCACAGCTGGGTAGCCAGCTGGAAACTTCATCGTACTTCAGTGGTGCTGGGAGCCTCCCTGAGCAGTGGCTGATCTTTAGCAAGGACAGTTCTCCAGCTACTTCATACATGGCAAAGACTAGACTTTAGAAATACTGTTAAACAGACTAAAGAAAACCTTAGTTCCCCTCTGTCTTTTGCAAAATCTGTAGCAGGAAAGAAAAATTTAGAATGAACCAAACAGACTCAGTACTCTGGGCAGCCTTGCAGAATGTATCCAGCGAACAGGTGTTGATCCCCCTCTCCTTTCCCTCGTGGACAGGGCCAAGCATCCTCTGGATTAGCCTGCTGATACACAGCCAATATACATGGTCTGTTAGGGCTTAAGGGTGCTTAGCTGCTATGTAAAATACCCTGAGTACTTAGCCTGTAAAATCAATGGGAGTTGTGTTTGCAGGTTTGAGGGCAGAAGTTAGCCACTGTTTTACTTGATTTTCAAGAAATGCCTCTGTAAAGCATTGATTCTCCTGAAGGTAAAGTTACCTTGGTTGTGAAATAATTGTCAAATGTTTTTCTTCATAATTCATTGAGTTCTCATAAATTTGTGTTTCTCTCAAACCTAAAGAAAATATTATAGGTATTATATTCATATTCAGGAAGTTACAGCATTTAAGATGAAAACTGTTAAACTAATTTCCCAGAATATAAAGAAAAGAAACTTCAACAGCAGCAAAAATTACATAACAGAAATCCTGAGTATTTTTTGCAAGTGCTGAGGATTTGACTGTTGTGCTAGAGCATAAATATCTATTCAGAATAATAATTCTGAATATCCAGTGACTAAGGTGAGGATCTTTGCTTGTTTGTTTCAGTTTTTCATTATGAAGGCAACTGTAAGGCTACAGGAATTATTTTTTTAAGATTCTTTAACCCATTTGCAAGTTTCAAGCAAAAAATAATGGCAGTGTTCTGTACTGAGAGTTATAGAGTTACTCCATGGAAAATGTTATAAGTTGTTCAGTACAGTCTGGTTCTCACATCACACAGATAACCTATTCAGCCTTCTGTCTTACAGATTATCCTCACAGGGATTGTCCTATTGTCTCATAAAATAGTTTGATGGCACTGTTATTACTTACCTGATTGATTACCCAGGAGCCAAATCTAGTCTGCAAGATTAAATATTTTCATTATAACTTAGATTAATATAGTTACCAGCACATAATAACACAGTATTGACTCACAGTAAGGGAAAGGACAAGAAATGTTTTACATAGCTAAGGAAACTTTATTTGCTCACACCTGCACTTACCCTGACCTTCACTTTTGCATTTATAAGGAGAATAAGATAGGCCAAACTTCTGTTTTCTAAGAGAAAAATAATTCTGGACGGTCAGTGTTAGATGGAAGATGAATGACAGTGAGATCACTGACCTCATTTTGGATCTCGTACAGTTACACAATGCAATGCTTTTTGGTAAACTGCCAAGTCTCCTAATGCCAGGATATACTGAGGTACAAAGGAAAACCCCAGATGTTCGATTATCCCACGAATGCTAGGACATAGATGCATGGGGCAGAGGGTTATGCTTCTCTTTTCAGCACCTTCTTTCCCAATCCCTGCTGATACCCAGTTGCTTGGTACTATTAAAGATGAAAAGTATGTGTGATGAAAAGTAATGAGATTTCATGTCTTGTTATATGCCCTTTCTTCTGGAAAGTTTTGCCTGAGAGAACTTGTTTTAATTTGTTCCTTTCATTTCCTCAGAACTAAACATTGGAAAGTAAATATGGCCTAATATAGCTGTTTAAATATAGGTAAAAGTAACCTGGATGATTATAAAATTGGATAACTGAAACACACATTTAATTTTTGTTGGTAAAAGAGCTGATCTTAACTAAACTGGCAACCATGAATTTCTGTTAGAAAACTGGAGTATTCAGTCTTATTTTTGAGGATTATGCTAGATGATGGGCTATCCAGACTTATCTTCAAACTAACACGCTTAACTGCTGCCTTAGCACCAGGACACAGATGGATGGGAAAGATGACCCTGACCTCCATAAGACCCACATTCCTGTGCAAGGATAGAAGCATGATAATCAGGAAATGATGGTTATTAGTTACAGAAAATGCATTATTGTGAAAACCAGGAGAAAAGTGCTTATGAGAGGAAGTGATTGGATTATGGGGGAATGAGAGAATAAGACTAGGTCATTTCTACTGAGTAAATTGCTGTGATTTATAAGAGAAAGAGTGTAGTGATATGGCCTCATATTGACTAGATTAATTTCACAAGCAAACCCATATCAGAATATGGCAGTTATCCACTAAAATCAAACACAGTTTTAAAAAAGATGTTTTTTTGTAAGACGTGAGACATGTTAGACACCTTTAATTTTGTAGTTTTCTTTCTAATTATACGTGTTATTTTAGAAAATATTCCTACATTTTAGTATGATTTGGTTAATGTCTGATATTTTACTTTTCATTGTGAAAATTAACCAGGTATTAATCCTTAGATGTATTTTAGATGAGTATCTTAAATATAACATATTCAATCTAAATTTTATTACAAAGATCTAAAAAGTGCATCAAGTGTAAACTACATATGGAAATTACCCATATGGTTGGGTAATTGGTAGATTAGATTATGCCTTAAAATTATTTCACACCATTGTTGTCTAATGCATAAATGTAAAGTGACCCCTGAAAAAAATTCTGAGATTAAATGCTCCATTAGTTCTGTAAAAAGTAATGGAAAATTGTCTTTGGAATCTTGCTTGGTTTGAAAACTAAGGCTCAATAAGCTATAAATACAATTTTATACTCTTTTCCAGACATTTCATTTTGCAATAAAGCTAATAAATACCACTGCCATAGTTACTGAAAGCATTGTTTACTCTGACACTGTTTGAGCAACAAGTCTGTCATGCATTACCTGAAAATAAACTTTATTTATGCTTGTTCTAATTTTCAGGGAACAAGTTTGCCCTTGTATTTTTGTTTTATCTGTTGTAGCTCCCACTTGACAGCCAGCCTTCACTGAGCACTCTCCCCTTTCACCACCCCTCATGTGCTCTCACAGTTTGTTCAGTTACGCTCTTCATTCAGTTGTTCCATGCTATTCAATATTTTTGGGGACTGCTTCCAATGGTTGAATTTGATCCTGCCTATAAAGAAGTCTTGTATATTGCTGTTAATCCCAGCACAGCAATCTAACTCCCATATCTAACACCCTAAACTCATCATAGCACCTTGTTTACTCCCAAATCTTCCTGTTTTATTCTGCAGCCATGGTGCCAAATTTGTAGTGTAAAGTTTTATTATTTTCCTCATTAATCTTTCATACGTAATTTCAATAGCTACATACTTCACTCCATGTTCTTTTTCCTTTTCCTACCCTGTTTTCCTCCTAAAAAACTAAGTAACCTTGTATATCCTCCAATTTTTTCCTCATTAAGCCCTCTTACATAATGATTAATGGTACCAAGCCACATATTCCTGCATTAATTTTGTTTTAGAAAAGAGACTGCACCTTCTAGTTAGAATAGGTATGATCACTTTAATAATGTTTTTATAACATAGTGTTAACTGATATGTATATTTTTTGGTAGATTATAAAAAAGACACCGTGAACCCAGGTTCCAGAAATGTGTCCAAATCTGTTGCTTCTGTAACAGGCTGTTCAGTGATACTTACCACAGTTGTCTTTTTTTTGTAGTAAACCCCCAAAAAAGGCACCACGGAGCCAAGTTCTGAAGTTATCTACAAATCTGTTGTCACTTCTATTCCAAGTTCTGTTTTCCTGAAATTTAAAATGGTCATTATGAAAAAGTAATACTTACTGAGAACTACTGTGTTGTTATTATAGTTTCATTAATTTCTTATCCATGAATAATAACTAGTTAATTCACATATCACCTTGACAAAAGGAAATTTTAGGGAAATCCCATTTCTTAATGTGAACATTCTCTTTTTATTCCTACCACTTTTTTTGTGTGTGTTTTCTGGAATTTCTAAACATGTTAAGAGTAAATTGAAAGGAAATGTAGAAAGTTATTTCTACTTGTACTCTCCAACATTGCAGGAAATTTTTTCTAGCATGCAGAAAATCAGGTATTTTCACAATTTCTTTTTCTTTGAATGATTCATTTGACATAAACAAATATAATTTGTCTAAATAGTTATATATATTTTGCTTGTGTCATGTAAAATTAATACAAAGAACTTGTAATTCAATAATCCTATAATTTCAATTTAAGATGCAGTTGTAGGCAGTTCATACTCCAGAAAAGTCATAGTGGTTACAATGAAAGATGTGTTTCTAAATCACATGGTATGCTTTACAGATGAAAAAGGAAAAAAAAAAATCATAATTATTTAAACAGTTTGTTAAGGTAAATGTGTGAAAAAATGTTATTTTCAAATCTCTATTGGCCACTAAAATTACTGGGTTATTTTTGGTGTACTTCTTTGGCCATGATTTACATGCATAGTTTTTTCTACAGCTCCAGATGGTCCTCCAGAAAATGTGACTGTTTTAGCTACATCTCCTCACAGTATTAATATCAGCTGGAGTGAACCTGCCATCATCACAGGACCAACATGCTACCTCATAGACGTTACCTCAGTAAGGCAACTCAGTTTTACTGTTAGTAGTTATATAGATGTTTGATCATGTAAATGCCACAGCAGGTTTCCTTACAGAAATTACAGGACAGAAATAACTGGATTAAAAAAAAAAATTGACTGTGTCTATTTCCACATAAATTCCACATAAGAATTAATTGTAGATTTATTAATTTCTTAATGGGAGATAAATTAATTACTTCATATTAAAAAATGTGTGCTAGTAAGAGCTCTTGGAGAAAAAAATTATAGCTATAAATGTACACTGGAAAACAGTAGTTGAGCTTTGTGGAAGTGTACCTCTTTCTAACCATAATGACTTCTTTCTTCTTCAAAGGAAGAAAAGGTTCATCGTAGTGATTTTACAAACCAAAGTGGAGAGCCTAGCAAAAAGGAAATGACCTGTACAAAGTTACATGGCACCAGAGGGCAAACTTTAAAGTCAAACTAGATTTCCCACTTTGCACTTGGTGCTCTGTCCATCAGATTAACTGTATTTTGGTAGCACAGCAATAACACTTCTTTCTCCTTGATCTTTATAACAAAAAAAAGCTGACATAAGAGAAAAGATCTAGTGGCCTTTCTCTTTTCATCCTCTACTACTCTTACAAAACTCTTTAAACCCACCATTAATAAACCTAATTTCCTGCCCTGTGGCAAGATATGCAACTTTCCAAGTTCAAGCACATGAGAAGTAGGGTATAGGTTCCTTGTTCTGCCAAAAATTATACAGACAGGGCTATCAGTGAAAATAGGAAATAGTGTACCAGACATTATCCAGGAAAAGTTGTTTGCGGTTTTAAAACTTCTAAAGCAGTCTGTTAGATAGTAGCAAAAAAAATTATAAAAATTAAAGATTACTTCAAAATATTTAAGACCTTTAAGTAGAAAGTTCTTTTAATTTTCTGAGAGTAAGACTACGTGTGTATTTTCAGTGTTTCTGAGTCTGTCAAAAGAATTACAGACATGCCAACATATTAATACTGAGATTTTTGTGCAATCAAAATTTCTAAGGAGATCAGTAAAAAAATACAAATAATTTTTAAGCTACTCAGAAAAGTTACAAGAGAGACTAAAAAATGTGTAATCCTACAATTTTCTCTTTCTCTAACTTCATTGTACAAGATGTAGAGAGAAATTTGTTCAATTCTGAAGATGCTTCCTACAGCAGTAGAATGGCAGGACGAAGGATGTACGACAGCAAGGGGAGTACTTACAGGGAAAGAATGATTCCTTGGCCCAATGTGTAGGTCACTAGAAACTAAATAACAAGTTTTATTTCTCTTTTAATAAAGTTAGAGAAGACTTCTTCCTTGTGAAAAGTTCCTGTCACTTTTGACTAAACAGCACTGTAGTGCATTAACAGAAAAACAAATCATGGTTTTTATAAACTTCCAAATTCAATTCTCAAATCTTGATTTTTTTGTATTTAATATTTAATTCACTTGTATTTAAATAATTTCTTCTCTCTCTGATAATTCCTAAATAATAAAGAGAGTATAATCTGATTCTACACACTGAAAATATTATAAATACCTTTTCAATATAAGTTATAGTAAAATTCCTAAAGCAAGATGAACTATGGAATGTGAGCTATTCCATGTGAACCTGCCAGCATTTGGAAGGAACTTAAAAAACTGTTTTAAATCTTCAGTTCGGAAGACTTTGGTTTTTGTTTTGCAAAGTGAGTTTGTTTGGGTTTTTTCCCCAATATATTTCAGGTAATCAGCTCTGTGTCTATGGATTCCTTGTAATCAGATGTTGTCTGTCTAATGATCAGTAACTACAGGTGTCAGTTCTGTAGAAATTTGGTAGACAGACAAATCTATTACTTCGTAAAGGCCAATAAAGCTGTCACAATCTTTTTCAGTGAAAATTTTAGTATATATTTTTAGTCCCAGTGGGAAATTTTTATGAAGACTCCAAATTCCACAAACTTTACTAATTTTTATTTTTAACTGAGTATCTTTAAGGATTTATAAAAATAGGATCACCAAACAGAATAATTCAGGTTTCCACTCTGCTATGTACTAAGTAATTAGTATTCATAACTCAATGTATTAGGGTTCTGCTTAAATTACTAGGATGTTTCTTGCAGTTTTGTAGATCAGAAAAACTAAAAAATACTCCTTCATTATTGTTCCTCAGAGTCATGTTTTACTTTGTCTTGCTGTCTACTGTAATTAGAATAGTCCTGAATAAAATATTCCTGGAAATGAGTAAGGCAAATGGAACTGAACTATTAAACTTCATGAAGAATAGAAATAAATTTAATAATGTAGTGCTGATTGTATTTTAGCTATTGTATAAATAATTATATGCCAGGTTTTTTTGATAGTCAAATAGAAGAAAGTGTTTCAGCTCTTGATGGCTATCCCAGGAAATGAATGTCTGTTTAATCCATCAGATAGTTTAGTTCAGGTTAATTCTCAGTGGGGATATAGGGCTATCTGTCAAATAAAAGGTATGCTTGAGCTATTCTAATGTTTTATCAGGTGCATTTAATACTGATTTTGTTCAGTGGGAAAACTACTGTACAGCTACCTAATTCTCTTTTCAAATCACACACCGAAGAAACAATAATAAAAACATTATTAACTGAAGTAGTGGGAATAGACATAAATAAAACTTTGTAAATGATACTTGATCAAACACTAGAAAAGATCCCGTTTTTTCCTTTTTTTTCTTTTTTGAGGCTACCATTGGAAGTGATTAATTGGATATAAAGTCTAACAATGGAGATTTGTCAACAGAACTACAGATTATTTGACATGTAGGGAGGATAGGTAGCCCAAAATGTAATCCAACCCATAGTCTGCTCTAATACAGAAACAAATATACCTAAAGTATTCCTCATAAATTATTCATTACCCTTTCCCTCTAATTGCTCAGCAAGCCTCAATGGATTGTTATGGTTTCTAGCTAAACTTATAGTCATAATTTTAGTTACTTAGTTAGGTATATCATTGCAGTCTGTGTAATTTTTAATTCTAATTTTTTTTGTGCAAGTAAAATTTTTATTTTCATGAACACTGTAAACAATGGATTATCTTCAATTTATTGACATGATTTTTTATATATTTCAAAGTCTCCTACCATCCCCCTTTTCTGGATTGAACCCGACATATTTCTGCTTTCCAGCTTTTCTAGTGAGAGAATTACTCCTTCCCCACTGTCTCATAAAAAGGGCTTCTATTAATATATCCCAAGAGGAATTACACTTTCTGCAGTTGTATCCACATTATATAATGCTGCCCAATTTTCTAGTTGTTTTTGTATTCCAAATAATTTTCTGCTATATGGCTGCTTATCTTCTGGATCTTTGCCTAGTTTGATTCCCATTTCAGATCTCTACAGTTCCCCTGGCCCAGTGTGTACAAATCAGTTCATGCCTGCTTGGTGTAAGATGGCACCAAGCAAACAGCCCCTTTCCTTAATCCCATACTACAGCAAGTGACAAAGAGGCAACACATGGGTGAGATGGGAGTGTATTCCCCAGTCCCCAGCACAGCTTTCTAGTCTTGGTAGCTGGAGAATTCTTGTGAATCCTTCTACATAACTAGTTAGAAAAGGGGAAGAACTGAAGTTAAATAAGATGTTCAAATAGTAATTTCTTGGGTTTGGGTGTTTCAAGCCTTGTAACATTTTTTTTTATTCTGTTCTTTTTTTACAGGTAGATAATGGCAACTATAAAGCTCAGTTTTTGAAGACAAAGGATGAGGTTAAAGTCTTAGAAATTTCTGATTTAAAAGCATTTACAAGGTATTCTGTAGTAATCATTGCCTTTACGGGGGATGTTAATGCTGCTCTCCTAGAAGGCAAGGCTAGTTCTCCAGTGATTGTCTCCACTTTTGAAGCAGGTTTGTATTTTTTTCTACTTTGTATGGAACAAACTTTGCAGTTTTTTCTTTCATTTGACAAATAAATGAGAATTTTGAACACAAGGTGTGCTTTTAATACAGATTTATCCTCACAATATTTTTTCTTTAATATTTAAAAATATTTCAGTCAACAAAAAAGGGATGGTTATGAATACTAAGATTTACCTTTACTTCTGCAGGGATCCTAACTTACTTCATGTAAAATTTGGATGTGTGGATTACTAGATTACTAGATTATTTCTGTAGTCAATGAAGAAGGAGGTCCTATCTATATTAGCATGTATATATAAGATACCTCTCTTAGGCAGGGAAAATTGCCTTGTGGAGGTGCCTGTTTCTCTTAAGAGACTACTGAAAACTCTACACAACATGCTTGGTTTTGGTGCAAAATCGAAACACATAAAAACTAAATGAAAATGAATCCTACCATTTATAAATTGTACCTGTATTGACTTGAGGACACAGTATGTGTATTCCTCCTTCCTTCAGTGCAAGGAAGTTGCTAGTGAAGGCTCACAGGGATCTATACTTGAGACAGCTGTTCCACAGACTCAAAACAGTCTGGAGAATGAGCTACATATTAAGGTGACAAAAGTTTCTGATGTTATTAAGTTACTCAGAGAAATAAAACTGAGAGAAGAGAGTAAGGAACTCTATGAGGACCTCATGACACTGTGTTACAGAAAAGTAGACAGGATTGTCATTTGCTTAGAAAAATATAAATAGATGTACATGGGGAAGATGCAGTCCTAACTTTACATACATAGGTCATGGTTATGCTCTACTATCTTTGCTGGTTTTGAATAAAAATATTTTCTCAAAAGGTATTAAAGTTTTGTTTCATTCGAAGTATTTGTCAACTGTGTCTCTACTGAGGTCAGCTGAAGGTCAACTTTTTTAGCTACATACTCAGGTTAATTTCAGATTTAAACATACTACACAGTGATTGTATTTATCATTTATCTTTCCTTTGATGTATGAAAATCCAAGGTCCCTAATCATATGATACGATATGGGTGTGTATATGTATATCTCTCCAGTGCCTTTAATAAGTTAAATTCTAAGGATTTCATAACCTGTTTATATCCCTGGAAGGTGATATGGTCTTTTACTGTGGAAAAATTAAAGAAGATTAAATTAGGTGCTAACTGGGTCTATCCTGAGACAGACAGCATCCTGTGATACCTGTTTTGGTAGTCCTTTCTTTTATTTAAATGTGTGATACATTAGGAAGTGCAGTAACCTTAGAGAGGAACTTTCTTTTTTCCATCTCATCCTGTCTCATCTGGTTTGTACAGCCTAGCGTATAGCTGAGTTAGGACCAGTTTACAAAGACTTGCTCCAGTGAAGCCTGAGTAAGCATTTGTTGGTTGGTTTAAAAAAAAAAAAGGAAAGTGTGACAACTGCATCTATATCCTTGGCTGAATGTGTTGATTTCACTATTTAGAGGTCATGCTGCATACTCGTCTGCTCAGGTAGAGCAATAAATATTTAGCTGCCTGAAAAGAATGTTACAGCCTTTTCTTTCAGATAGGGACATTGGGAAAATGATTTATACCTTTGCTGTCTTGAGAATAAGCTACTGGAATAAGAATTTGACAAGAAATTTACCTCTGGGAAAAATGCATGTTGTGCTTGTGTCTGGGCATCAGCTAATGGAAAATTTTTTCCTAAAGAGTTAGCCATGATAATCAGAGACTGTTTGGTACAGTGGCTTGTTTATACGTTGGGAGGGAGCTTGCTGTTGACAGAGGGCTTTCAGAAAGTGATACTCACTGACACTTGCTTCTTACTTGTCAACCCATGCAAGGGTTTGTTTACCTCAGATGTATTTCAAGGTGTAATGATGCCTTCAGGCTTTCTGAGTAGATAATCAGAAGAAATTTTTGAAAATTTTCAATAAAACCCAGAAAATATCAATGGAATAATACCGATGTGCAAAAAATATGATTTGTAATTTTTCTGATTTTACTCTAATAGTAATAGTTGTAAACTGATTAAGTGGATCATTGAGATATTTATTTCAGTACCTGAAGACCCACCTAACAACATAACTTTTCAGAAGATACCAGATGAAGTAACAAAGTTCCAAGTAACATTTGTGCCACCATCTGAACCAAATGGAAATATTCAAGTGTATCAAGCTATGGTTTACAATGAAGATGATCCCGCTGCCATCCAGATCCACAACCTCAGTGTCATTGAAAAAAAAGATCAGTCAGTCACTGCCATGATAGAAGGACTAAAAGGAGGACATACCTATAATGTCAGCGTAAGAATTGATAGTTTTGCTTTGGATTTTTTTCTTTGATATGCATGAGATTAGTTTGAATGGGGAACACAAACTTTGGCTGACTATGAGATTTCCATGCCAAGAATGTTAGCTGGGGTGCAAAGAGAGGCAAGTCTGAGGAATGAGGGGAGCAATGAACAGGGTAGAGTGAGTGGGAGCAGGACGCATCCCTAGTCCAGCTGACCAGTTCCTGTGCAGTAGCGAAGCGGTCTGACACATCGTCACAAGCACAGGACTAAATCTCTCTCTTAATCCGCTATTTGCATTGCTCACTCGGCTCCCCTGAAAGGTCTGATTCTGCAAGGGGAGCTTGCTAGGAGTATGTGAATGAAGTACTTTCAAATAGTCAGAAACTGGGGCATAAGAGGAGGAACTAAAACTCTTCAAGTGGGCTTGTTTTCTCCTTTTTTAAGAGCTACATTACAAGCGATGAAGTGTTACTGTGCTTAGGATTGTAAAGCAATATAAAGTAAGTTCTAGCAAAGTGTGAATGACAAAAGGAGTATTTTGGCATTCATTGTTGCTTCAAGTATATCCAGAACTGGCCAATATGAAGATCTTACAAATACTTATTAAGCAAGTGTTTGCTTTTTTAAAGGTATATGCAATTAATGGTGCTGGCGCGGGGCCGAAAATTCAATTGAAAATAACCATGGATATCAAAGGTATGTCTCATAAAATACCCTTTATCTGAAATCTTCATAAATGCTGAAGAAATTGCTGAGTACACAGCTGTGCGCCTTTGGCTATTATTTAGAGGCCACATAATGTAGGAACGGGAATCTGTAACTGATAGCCTTGAATTGTAGTGTTCAATTTTGCTGCATATTAATCATCATTTGCTATTTGTATCTGAACAATACTGTAAAGCATGTGCAGACTCAATGAAGTAATCATATTGAGTTCAATATTTTAATTATCATCAGGGAACAGCTTAGAATGGGACAGAGGTAAAGCTAAGTATGCAGTGTAACAGTTGTCGAAATAAACAAAAGTGAAATTAACTGAAAAACTAATATGCAGTCTTTTTGTTTTCTCTTTTAATTGAAAACCGATGCACATAGACATTTATCAGAATATAGTTTTTACAGTCTTAAGACATTAAGTAAAACATTAAGTCATCCCTGAAAACATGCTGGAGATTTCTCATGCATAACACAGCTATGTGCCTGAACAATGTACCTGTAGTGAAAATATTGTAAAACAGAACTCTGTGGTATATCTTTATTTAAAAACAGAACCGCCAAGACCTAAAAAGAAACCAGTACCAGTTTATGATACCAATGGGGCATTACTCGTCACAGCTACAACAATTGCAATCAAAATGCCAATATGTTATTACAGTGATGATCATGGCCCTATCAAGAAGATACAAATTCTTGTTGTGGAAGCTGGAGGTAGAATTTTATTCGTTCTCTTGAAAACTTTTTAAAGTTCAGGCTGTTTGTCTTTTTTATTTCTTATCTTGGGTTTCAGTAGTTTCACTTCAGAAAGCAGCTAACAAAGTCACTTTAGCTGTGACAATAGCACTAAGAGGAAAGTATCTTTCACAATACTTATGGCCTGGGTGCTGGATTTTGGGAACGCTTGCCAATTAAGTGTCATCCACGCTGTTTGAAGCCACCAATATTATTCAGTCCCTACTTTTGTCATTATATTTCTTTATTTTCTATTTCCTTGAAATAGAAAGACCCAACATTTGACATTTGTGAAAGTTAAAAAATCTGAAACCTTTCTTTTTTTGGCAAGGTTATTCTTCTGTCATTATTAGTGTTGCCTGTAAAAGAATGCAGTCACGTGCCGTTGATATTTCCATTTCATAATGGGGACAGAGGGAGTTATATAAATTCCTTCTGTAGACTGTGGGTAAGAATGTTTATTCCCTTGTACGGACTGATGAACATTTACTCATATGAACACTGCTGTGAAACTCTTGAGTAATTGCGTACCAATATGAGTGGGAGTTTTATGATAGGACATCATATGATCAGGCTTACTTACCTAAGAAGGACAAATTCCAGGAATTTAATTCCCTTATTTTCCTTGGTTTCAAAGTATAGAAGTAAAGCATTCACATTAAGTGAACTCACATTATGCGGGTCACCTTTTTCTGAATTTTGCATTTTAGCACTAATCCTAAAGAAATTTACTTCATAACTATTGCTGTGAAGATTTTATTGAATTGACAGATATGCAAACACCATGCTAAGCAATATTTTGAAGATTTTTCTCATAAGCTGCTATGTACCATCCACTTATGCAAATCTACTGCTTTAATTTATGAAACAATCTTTACTGTCTTGAGTAAACACTTTTTACTGTCTTTGCTAGCTAGCCATGCTCAGTTTCAAGGTCAAGTGGCTTGCACAAGTAATATTCTCTACAGGCAGAGCTCCCGTGCAAAATCGCTCCTCAAATTTTCTAACTGTGATTCAGTTGACTTACTCAGAGATAACAAAACATGCAGAGTGGATAGTAAAAGTGCAAATGCAGCTATAGACTCAGTTGTGTAAATAGCACCAATAGCATGCTAAGCTCTTTAAAAAAATATTTTCCTATTTAACTTCTTCAATTACAGCCTGGTTAGAATGTAAATTGTATCTATTATTTCTTTTCTTGACAATAGCTCAGCATGATGGGAATGTTACTAAGTGGTACGATGCCTACTTCAACAGACCAAGGCCATATTTTACAAATGAAGGCTTTCCAAACCCACCATGTGTAGAAGGAAAAGAAGTTCTGAGTGGGAAAGAAGAGATATATGTCATAGGTGCTGATACCACATGTATGATACCAGGCAGTCAAGATAAAATATGTAATGGTCCACTGAAACCAAGAAAGCAGTACCTGTAAGTACATTTGTCTCAGTTTGTCCAAGAGAAGGATTTAAGTGAAGTATAGATTTATGCAAACACATAAAACATATAGTTTAATTAGAAAAGGTGGAGATTGAAATAATCGTCATGTGTTTCTAATTTTAAATTTTTTTGGCTGAGCATAAATATGAGAGACAAATTTTTTACAAAATTTTTCAAGCAACAAAAGGTGCTTACTGAGTTCTTAAATTAAATAAAGTCAAATTCAAGACAAGTAATTCACATAGGTTTTTTTAATACATTCAGGATATTGACAGAGTCTTTAATGTCTGTCATAATGTCCCTTTTGCAGGTGAATAATGATTCCAACTTATATTATGCTAAAGCTAAAAATAGTTTTTAGTTTCTAAGTGAAATAATATTTAAGAAAATGCACATAAACTTTTATTTCATTAATTTTTTTGCTTTTATTTCACAGATTTAAGTTCAGAGCAACTAACATTAAAGGACAGTTTACAGATTCTGACTATTCTGACCCTATCAAAACGTTAGGTAAGGAGAGTGTCATTTAATAAAGTATTTCTCTATTTCCAAGGGTCTAGACAATTCCATTTTTCTTTTTGGTACAGTGGTTTTCATGCAGTAAATAATCTCTATTTTTGTTGGACCTAGCTTGACTAAAATGGCTGAGGAAATATATTTATTGCCTTGTATGTCCTCTTGAGGTTTCCAAGAGATTTTACCTCAGCCTGGAATGGTAAATGAAGAAGTAGTGTTGACAAAGTTCATTTACAGAGATTCAATTATACCAATAAAACAACCATGTTGTCCGGATAGTTCATTTTGCTTGTTGAACTTCCAGAAGCTCTACTGTTTTTGCTGTTTCCTTCTGTGTTGGATGTAGAACTAGTATTGTATACTCTTAGTTGGTTAAAAAGATGGCTGGATGGCTAGGCCCAAAGAATGGTGGTTAAATGGAATTACATTCAGCTGGTGGTTGGTCACTAGAACTGTTCCCACTGAGCTCAGTATGCAGCCAGTCCTGTTTAATGTCTTTATTGATGGTCTGGACTAGAGGATCAAGGGCACCCTCAGTTGGTTTGCAGATTACACCAAGTTGGGCAGGAGTATTGGTTGATCTGCTGGAGGGTAGGAAGGCTCTGCAGAGGGATCTGGACAGGCTGGATCCACAGTCTGAGACCAATGATATGAGGTTCAACAAGGCCAAGTGCTGGGTCCTACAGTTGGGTCACAACAACCCCAGGCAGCACTACAGGCTGAGAGCAGAGTGCCTGGAAAGAGTGCCCAAGACTCTGCCCTGAACAGAGTGCCCAAGGGAAAAAGGACCTGGAGGTGCTGGTTGACAGCCAGCTGAACATGAGCCAGCATGTACCCTGGTGGCCAAGGCCAATGGCATCCTGGCCTCCATCAGAAATTGTGTAGTTTACCAGGACCAAGGCAGTAATTGTCCCTCTGTACTCAGCCCTGATGAGCCCACACCTCGAGTGCTGCATGCAGTTCTGGACCTCTCACTACAAGACATTGAGGTGCTGGAGCTTCTCCAGAGAATGGCTGGTGAAGGGTCTGGAGCACAAGTCTTCTGAGGAGAAGCTGAGGGAGCTGGAGTTGTTTAGCCTGGAGAAACGGAGGCTCAGGGGAGACCTTATTGCTCTCTAGAGCTACTTGAGAGGAGGTTATAGCCACGTAGGGATTGAACTCTTCTCCCAAGTAACAAGCAATAGGACACGGCTTCAATTTGTGCCAGGGGAGGTTTAGATTGGATATCAGGAAAAATTTCTTCATAGAAATAGTTGTCAAGCATTGGAACAGACTGCCCAGGGAAGTGGTAGAGTCACTAACCCTGGAGGCAATTTAAAGAAATGTAGATGTGGCACTTAGGGACATGGTTTAATGATGGACTTGGCAATGTTGAGTTAGCAGTTGGACTCCATGATCTTAAAGGACTTTTCCAACCTAAATTATTCCATGATTATATTCCAATGAGCCTAGTAGCAGGTTACCTGAGGACATGACCCTCTAATCCCTTCATCTTTAGCTACAGACAAAGCCCCATATGAATTAATAAATCAATAAATTAATACTGTATAATAGAATCCATCTGGTTCTAATGTCACTAGCCAATAGGCCAGCTGTTATTTGGTCTGAAATACAACATAATTCCTTCATGACTGTATTGATATACCCCCAAAATTGGGAATGATGTCTCTTGAAGCAAACTGTAATAAGATCTGTAAGCTGTTCTAATATATTTTCAAGACCAAAACTTACTCAGCTAAGCATTAGCCCAGACTTTCTGAAAATGGATCCCAAGACAACTGGATGAGTACCCAGAAGAATTTTAGTGGGCACATATTTTTCGCTTGGCATTCATCTTCTGTGATATGAGCTCCCTTATTCATCTAATCCATTTTAGAAATTTGTTACATGATCTGGTACTGAAGACCCTGAAATGCTAATTCACTACCTCAATATTCTGAAAGGATCCGGTACTATTTCTCTAGCCCTGAATATTTTGGAAAGTGCAACATAAAAGTTGTCTTTATATGTTCTGAGTTTAAAAGTCAATGGAGCAAATATTTTGCCCAGTAAGGGAAAGATAGTGTTCCAGTCAGGGAAAACAAGTTTACTAGAAATGAGTCCAATTCTCTCCAGTTCTCTGGGCAACTTTCTCCTCTCTATCAGAAAAGTCTGCAGTACTTAGTGGCAGGCAGATATTCTAATTCATTTGCTTATGTATTTTTACTGAAAATTTGTGACACTTTTTCTGGTTTGTAGGTGATAAATAAGTGCAATTTCTTTTATGCTGAATAAAATGTAACAGGAAAAAAACCCAACAAAACAAGGGATATGTTCCTCAGATATCCATGGCTCCTCATACCCATCCAATGCCTTCTGCGCTAAACTTTAACATCAAGCACTGCTTTTTAAGGCCAAACTACAGCATCCTCTTGTCTAGCCTAAACTTCTAAATTTCAGAGCCCATACAACAAGAAACAAAACTTACATGGAATAGATAATTAAAAGTTCTTTGAATTTTTTTTTACAAGTTCTGTGAAATCAACATCAAACTGATATACCACAAATGATACAGGCACTGCACTTAAGGGATCTTAAGGATGCAGCACAGGCAATGCCATTACCAATATCATCTTAAGTGAATAAGGGAAATTAGATTTTTTCAGACACATTTTCTCTGGAGACACATAACATAAGGAACCTTGCCCAAGTGTTTTCTTCCAGAACATGCCTTGGTTATGTGAACTTTGGGCTTGCTCTAGAGGCCTAATTCAGAACATACAAGATAGATCTGTAGCTTTTAGATGTTTCTGTGACCCAATTACTTATATTGCACTCATAGCATTAGCTTCTTTCCAAGAGAAGTTTATGGTGCCTGAAATCAATTAGCTTCTTTCATAATAATCACTGAAATTTGTAGTTTTCCAACATTACAGTTTCACTTTAGTAGATAAAACACTAATTTAAATTTTGGTAGAGGTATGCACAACAGTTCAAAGAACTCTAAATTATTTTGGTTCCTAAATCTATTAATAGAATAGGTAGGTCTCTGATCTGGAAAATCAGAAAGATAACCTTGTATAATTTGCAGCAGAAAAAAATATGGAAACCTTGAGAGATTTCTCTGTGACAGATGTTAGATGCTCTTGTTAAACAACAGGAATTTTGCTAGGAAGCAGAAATTATTGGAATACACAGCTGCAATAATGTTTTTTTTAATTATAGTAAAGGATACACTTTAATAACGTGCACCCACTCAGCCATACTCAGAGTACCACAACCCTCCTCTTAAGCTGGAGAGGTGGAGTTTCTTCCTCATAACCCATGACTGACATTGCAAAAATAATGTCCATATTACAAGGAAAGGTCAGGATTTTTCCATGAGATAATTAAGATGTGGTGATAAATTCTGTTTAAACTTTTAATACATCAAGGCAGATTATAACCTTTTTGTAAACTCTCATAGCTTGTTCAGCAAATCATTGTGAGGCAACTGGTAAGTTGTGTAAGTGTACTTTTTCCATGTGAAATATAAAGCTGATGAGATAAGAAATAATCAGAATGGGGTTTCCTGACACTGCCTGTTGCATAGAAACTGACCTTAATGTATTCTACTATTACACTTTGTTATCATCATGCATTGAGTGCAGCACCTCAGAATTATACAATGTGATATTTTCTGTTTTGTCTCCTTTCCCTTGCTCATAATCATCTCTACAGACATGTCTACACAGAAAAGTGTAGACCTTCCCTGTTGCAAAGAAGTAGGAAAAAATGTGGGGGTTTTATTCTTGGTGGCACAATTCTGCTAGGACTGTTTTGGTTACTAACATTGGTATTGTTTGGACTGATGTTAATTGTAGGGTTTAACACAGACTTCACTGTTCACTGCAAAATAGATAGCACCATTGTAGAGGTTCCTCTGTATATTCTTCTGTCCTTCTTCCACATTGCTAACATTTTTGCATTATCATAGTAATAAGTGAGTGGCATGGATGTTTTCATTCATTTTCTCATTGAAACATTTTTGTATATATTTGCTTTTCTCTTCTTTTGTCTTTCCCTGGGTGAAATTTTTCTTATCTTGTAGTGTCCAGTGTTGCGTCTAAAACTTTGTTAATGCAGTGGAAGAATTATTTCAGGCGTTTTGTAAACTATACTGAATTCCGTTGCCTGTCAGGCATGATATTGCTTATTCATGTTAGTTTTGGTCTACAGTAATCTCATTCTTTCTTTTGATAAATTTCTATCTAACCTACTGTTTATTGTGCTGTATTATTGTAGCTGATTATTTCTACCTACATGTAGAACCATGCACTTGATCTTACAAAATTGCATCCTACTGTTTTAAGATCATTTCTTCAGATAAATCAGGATCGTTTTGAATTTGAATGATGTTCTCCTATGGACATCAGTCCAGATCATCTGCAATACACTCTGTAATCCCAAAACAGAGCCTTTTGAGAGAAACAAAGCCAGGACTACAGTGTTTCCCATGTGTCTGTGGGAGGATGTTGTCCTTTGAGTGGGAAATCTCAGTTTCCTATGGCAGGAAGCAGTACATTTTCTCCCCTTCCTTGAGGCTAAACAGGAGATAGGTTTTCTACAGTGGATCAGCAATGAAGGTGAATGTCAACAGAGGTGAACAATATCAGCAGTAGTATTCCCTTGCTTTACTTATTTTTACTGTTGCCCAAAGGAAAAAGAGGGTGAGGGTTTTTTTAGATAGGTACTGGATTACCAGGAAGGGTGGGAAATAAAATGAGTCTCAGAAGTATAGCACTAAAGAGGTTCAAAAAGAGGCCTAGAAACTTCTAATCTAAATAGTTTATCAGTTTCTGAATGAGTTTTCATTCTCACCTGGAAGGACTGATTATTATCACAGAGGCCTTTATGATTACTTTTGACCTACTAGTGGTTATTCCTGACAATATCACCAATTCACACAAACAAGGAGCATGAGTTAATTGTCAGTGAGGTAGATTAATCCAGGAAGTTCAGATCTGGTCACTAGTTGGGTTCTTTCAGCACCCTTATCTCTAAAAATAGTATCTTTTTTTTGTGCTTTTGAGTGGCAGCAAGCCTCAAAGCTTTAGAGTTGTGCTCTGCCTTTTCCACTTGAGGAGTCTGAGTAGTCCTCCTCTGTTCTTGGCTGCACAGAGACTGCAGGAGCTTAGCTCAGGCCAAGGTTCAGACTGATATTACTGCAGTGTAGACTTACCTTAACCTGTTGAGCAGGTAAAACTGAGAAGCACCAAGGGATGGCTGCACATACAGCTCTAGCCACGTACTATTAACGTTACGCGTTACACAGATCAGCAATGCTTGGGAACCTCTTCATAAATTGTTTCTGGTTTTGTTATATTTTTCTTTCTGAATCAGCTCTTCAGCCACCACAAAATGGATGCAGTTGCACAGAGACAAAAGGAGTCTGTCTTTCATAATTTCCTTATTTCCCACTGTCAGAAACGTAAAAATTCTGAAGAATCTATGAAATACTAGCTTTCCACTTTCTGTTGCAGGTGAAGGACTAACCGGAAGATCTGTAGAAGTTATCCTTGCTGTTACTCTGTGTATACTTTCGGTTGTTCTTTTGGTGGCTGCAGTGTATGCTTTTGCAAGGTGAGATTTATGTATCCTTGCCATAGTATGTTTGAAAACACTCAAAAATGTTTTAAAGAAGAGTTTAAACAGAACAATTCTGTCATTTCAAAATGTGTTGGGTTTTGGTTGGGTTTTTTTGTCTAGAGAGGATAACTTCCATAGATGAAGAAAACCCATCTTGTCCATAGGGCAAATCAGAGTAGCCTGTCTTAAATTTCTGAAGTCACTTCTCTATTGACAGATCAGAGTGTCAGCTGGTTGAAGTTATCGTGATGACTAACACTATTTATAGCTGAATATGAAGTAAATACTCTAAATTCTATTTTCTGTCTTGCTAATAAATTTATCACTTCAATACATTGAAATAGCACACATGAAAGAGAAATTGAGTTCTAATTCAAATTGTGAACAAAATCTCCATGTAAAGAAGCAGGCTGGGCACTGCACACACAATGTCAGTTTCCTCATTCATCAGTTCTGTTCTCCCTCAGCTGCATTATTCAGGCATTACCAAAGAATTTATGTAGGAAAACTAAAAGAATATAGCAGCTAGATTCTTTTTTCTGAATTTTAGACAACGTAACTGCAGTTACATTTGTCCACTAAATTAAACCGTTGGAAGGGAGAGAATAAAGGCCAAGGAAGGATTCCTGGCAACCATTTTTCAGTTTCAGCCTGTCAAATCAAAGTATTGATATATATGTTCTTAAGTCTTTTGCATGTTTATTTTTCACTTTATTTTCTGTTTAGAATTCGGCAGAAGCAAAAAGAGGGAGGCACATACTCCCCACGAGATGCTGAAATTATTGACACTAAGTTCAAACTGGATCAGCTGATCACAGTGGCAGACCTGGAGCTGAAGGATGAGAGATTTACACGGTAAGCATACTCCTTAGGCAAAACAGTAGCCCAAAGGGTCTGTAGCCATGACCCCTTTCTGACCTTTGCTTGTTTGGAAGTGTTTGTGCTGTTCTTACTTACACAGGTCACTGAGATCCTTTTTCAAAGAATGACCTCCATCCTCAAGACACTTCTCACTAGCTTTTAGAAAATCACTTAATCTTAAGCTCTTTTTACAACAAGGTAAAGATCTAAGTGCAAATCACTGTTTAATTGTGTTAGCCAAAAAAGGGTTACATATTTTTAAACATGCAGAATTTCCGAGGTTTTAATGGCCCAGTGTTTCTGTAGGCTGCAAACTTACATAAGTATTTTGAAAGAGCCAAACTCCCAGAAATCCCTGTCAACTAATTTGAGAACAAATCAACTAATTCATTAACAAATCTGTCATTGTTTAATTGACATTCAGAAAACTTTTTTTTTTTTTTAACCAAGGCATTTGCATAACATCTGGGTTTCTGTGGAGCTCAGCACACTGGCTATACTAACATCTACTCCTTTAAGGTGCATGCAGCAATTCCAGGCTATTCATATTTTCTATTTGACAAGGAATCTTATCACAGATATTTATCAAAGGAAAACCACTCATTTTGACTGTCAGAAATATGGATATTATTCAACAAATAAATATAACTCTTATTCTCAATAATATGGGACATCCAACTGAGTTAGAAATATTTGGCAAACATTCCTCACCTGCCAGTATTTTCCCTGCTGTGTCACAGATGAAACACTGTGGTAGGCAGTCTTCTTAAAGATGAGAAGCCTAAAATAGTCTTACCCTACAAGTCAAACATCCTATTGTTGCAGGTTAGGAATAGCTGGAAGATGAAAGGTTGTTAGCTGTTGACCTGGGCTTTTTGTACATGTCTACGTGTGTGGTACAGAGTAAGTTGATTGCGTGTACAAGCCTGTTCAAAGTAGAGCACACAAGAATGGCTGCTTGTGACAGATGAGAAAACATACTATGAGTCATCTGGAAATCACTGATGTAACGGATGTGGTATGTTGTGTGGGGGACACTTGTTGTGCAGATAACATTGTTTAGTACCTGCTAGCAACAGTGGAAAGCATCCTCTGAAGACAGAACCATAGCCAATGCACTGTGATAACTGTGACTCATATAAATGGTCTTGATGGATCTTCAAAATTACCTTGTTTCCAAACTGTTAGCTAAATAAAAATAGCATTAATTTTGCTTATATACTAAAGTGTTAATGGATTTTACTTCCAGATACTCTTCGTTTTTCTTTAGACGCAAGGAGATATTTGTCATCCAGTAAGTTTTTGTATTATTGAAGCAACATGGTGTGTTTTCTATTCTATTCTCTTAACCTGTGTGTTACTGTACTATAATGAGCAATATAGTTAATCTAAATGAAATGTCAATCTTTGCAGACATAATAATGACAAAAATTGTATTTGTCATCATGAAATCATGTCTATTTTTAGTATCTAACTTTAAGTTATAACAGTTCCACAACTATTTTACGTGGAAACTATAACACATTATGGCAATTTAGCCCTGAGATACATAACCTATCCTTGAAAAAAAGGTAGTGCAAATGCGACATAAGAAACATAATGTTACTTTCTTTGGCAGTTAGAATGTATATACTCAAGATAAATTCTTTTTTTTCTCAACTGCCTTTTGTACTCACAGTGCAGGAGTTTCATACTATACCCCTACCATCTCAGCAATATATCCCCCCAGTCAAATGTTTTATCAGTTTTCAGATACTATTCTGCCACTCTTCTGTCTAAATTATGTGTAGTTTAGACTTGTAGAGTCTCAAACTCTTAAGGGTAATTGCAAACTTTTGCCCATGCTCTTGCCCATATTGTTTCATACTTATGTACACTTCACTATGTGATTTAGACACGGCAAGGCCTTTACTGAACTGTGTTTCAGCAGTTTTAGTTACATCACCCTTATTTTAATGAGTCAGATTCACATCTTGGTTTGCAATTTGTCATGTTGTTCCATCTGTACTTTTATCTTTCCTCCTTCCATCCCTTCTTTAATGGTCAAAAGCAAAGACTCTCTATTTCTGTCATTGTGAGGTACATGAAGTAGCTGTTAAAATTTTTGATTGTTACTTTTCAAACAGTAGTGGTACTGAAGCTACAGTGGCTTCCTTGCTCAGGTCTTTTGTTGAACATTAAGAGAAACTGTTGAAATTTGAAGTTCAGGCACTAATTGAGAATTCCTCAGGATAGAATTCAGGACCTCTTTTCAACTGGAAGACAGAAAATGTACTGTGGAACCCTACTACATAACATACACGTAGTAATGAGGGGTAGGATATCCTTGACGTGATCAAATTTTTTTAGTTTATTTTGACTTTTTTCTTTTTTAAGCTTCAAAGAGTGTTTCAATATCTGTAATATTCTGTTCTGGTAGTGCCAGTGACCAAAAGAGACAATTTAGGTGTCCTTCCTCATAATGATGAGTTATATCAAGGAGCTGGCAGAAGCACGGCAGCATGTGCCAAGGCAGTTTACTGCAAAGCCTAATATCTAAAATATTTTTGCTACCTGTTTTCAGACTTCCACAGTTGCATCATGAAAGAGCTTTAGTACTTGTTACCTTTGGGGAACAGCCATGCTGAAGTCAATCCCAGTCCCAGTTCTTGTGTTGACCCTATAATTTCATTATTTGTTGTTAAAGCAGTGACATGTTAGCATGTTAAATTATTGTATTACATGTTGATGACTACAGTGTAACCTTTACAAATTTCCCATGCATTTGGAACAGGCATCACTGCATCTGCACAACCTACTGCTATACACTGACTGCATTTAGGCAGGTATCAACTGTGTTTCAAAGCTTACTGTGTTTCAGTTTGTGGTATTCTGTAAATGTATGAGGAAAGCATAGATGGGCAGATTCTCTTGCCAGACTGGCATGTTTGTATTTCTTGGATAACAGTAAATCAGCTGAAATCTTATCCAGCTTTCTACTCTGAAAAAGTAATGGGGAGTTTGTGTGAAACTCTTAGGTGATAAAAGAACATAGCATAGATTTTTTTTTCTACCTACTCATCACCTTATTCAGTGCTCATTTGAAGGGGATGTTTTTGAAACCACATGTTTTTTCATTTCTCAGACAGTATATTATCTATCATGGTAGTGACTATAAATCAATAAAGGCATGCACTTGCAGCTGACACCATTCATCCACAGAATCAAAATCCACTCTAGCCTGCTCCCCAAGATCTTTCTTGACCGTCTCTTATACATTGTCTCTTTAGACAGTCTCTCATACTTAGTGAATTGTGGCCTATGATCTTGGCTCTTGTCAGAAAATTTGTGCAGCTGGTATCACACAAGAAATGAAAAGGAGTAGAAAAAGGTTTTTCTGTTCTGTATTAATATGACTGGAAATATTTTTTATTATTCCTAGATCAAAAATTTGACAGCTTGAAGCTTAGAAAATGTTCAGTATAGGTTAATCAAAGTATTATATTTCAAACATTTTTATAAATTTTGTCATATTAAATATTTTGCATTAAAAAGTCAGTTTGACTAGAAAAAGACAAATTTAAAAGTGCTAAGTATCCCATTTTGACAATTTTGAAACTTTTTAGGGGGTAACACTTTTTTTCAGACCATGAAATTAATGGAAAATCCCAGTCACCACTAGTAATCTTTTAGCATAATGGCCATCATAAAAAAATTTACTTGAAAAACTTCAGTGTCTAATATTACTAATACTAGCAAGTACATATATACTGTCTCTCAACAAGTCTTCGTTAGGCAACTAATTAATTGGATGTAGTTTCAGAGGACATGCAGGGAATTAAGTCCTACTGAATTCAGTGGAAAATGAGATCTTCTTTATGAATCCAAAATGAGTGTTTGGGACATATGATGCTCTCCATGATGGTGGAGATGGTCTGAGACAGGCAATAACAGGAAAAAACAACCTTGTTTAAAACATACACAGCCCATCAATCTAAATTAGGTTAAAGATTGTTTCATTAAGCACACTGAATATACATATGCTGGGTGCTCTCATTACTTACCTTTTAAAACATGTACATAGGGTTTACCAAGTCACTTTTCAAAGCAGAAACTAAACTTCTATGAATAGATTCTGTCACTAAATTTTCAGGGTGCACCAGGTTTGGTGAGAGGCAAGTAACTCTTCCCTGTTACAGGTGCTCACCTAGGAGACAATCTACTTGTCACCCTCCTTTTGCAGTGGTTTCTGCAGCAAGATAAAGCTGTGCAGATCCCTGTTTCCTAAAGTCTTTCCTTGAGAAGTTGCATCTTGCGGTTGATCCTTTGAGGCTTTTGTTTCACTTTGTGTGAGACAGCTTGTCAAACAAATGGGGCACAGACTCAGAAGAAATTTTTCTGCATTACAGACATTGTAGCCATTGCAAATACCAGGTAATTAGAAATCCTTTTGAAAAATATTGTATGTTAAATGATTATCACCCTCCCTATATACTATACATCTGGTAGGTGTCTGTATTTGAGGTAACAATTTTGCACACACATTACTTTCCATAGACCAGCCTGTTTTTTTCTGTAGACAGACCTATCTTCCTTTGAGTGGGGATAGGCATGGATTCTGCCTTGCCTTTTTCTTAAACAAGTTTCCTCTAGTAATCAGCTATCAAAAATAGACTTCCTGAAGTTTGTATTCCAGGAGTACAAAGTTTATGAATGTATGTGTCCTGGTACAATGGAAGAAATGACCATGTGTTCTCTTTCCTTAGGCCTTTAATATTTAGGAAGGGTTAAGCTCCATATTGCTTTCAATTAACTTGTTAAAAATTAGTTCCTCCCTTGGTCCTAGGAAGTGTCAATGGTGCTTATGAGTTAAGCCTTTTGCCCACATAGTCATTTCTGTTGTTTTCTATTTGGACGAAGTTTTAATTCCCTGTGGATTTCAGATGATTGACCCAGAGAGAAAGCAGAGTCTGTGTGGCAATATGGTCTTCAGTTACCACTGCCAACACAAATAAATGCCTTCTTTCTAGCTCTATCATAAGTAATCTGAGTGGGATTCAGATTTTTGATAGACTTCAAAAAAACCCCACACATGAAACAATACACTGTTTTAAAAGAAAATCAGATTTAAGGCAATAAAGCATTCTTTATCTGAGAGAATGTTTTTCTTTCCTAGTTTCAAAGTCCGACAAGTGGGAATCTGAAATGATCCAGCTGAAATAGGGAAATTTTCAACTTTGTGGTGTGATTCTAAATTGTGCTCATGAAGATCTAGTGATATTTATATTTTTATGTTTTATAAAAAAGGCTGGGAAATGTGGAGGATAAGATTATAGGTAGATGAGTATTTGTTCATTGTTGAAACACTGTAAGATTATTATTATTACATATTCTAAATCAAGAGACATGGAAATATGCTGATTTTTTAAGCCCAAGCATGCTGAAACTGAGCATAGATGGAAGTTTTTAAAGAGAACACAAAATTCATCCTTTCTGAAGATCCTTACACAACAAGGCCAAGATCTTTACCATAGTTAGTCAAGAAAGACATGAATTTTCATATAAGAATTTAAGTAAATAATCTTATTTTCTGAGCTCCCAAGCCACAGCTATATGTACTTGCTACTAACAAAAGTTTTAAAAATCAAGTTCTTCACTTAAATGCCCACAGACAGGTTAAAGTGTCAATCTGTAGATGTCTTGCTTCTTAAAAAAAGGTATACTGCTTGTGAAAGATGATATATTATTATGCCTTTAAAAAATAGCCTGTTATTAATATTAAAAATTGACTAGAAAGCAACACATGCAACACTAATTTCCTAAGCTATTTCAGTGCTTTACTTCCCTGTTTCGAGTGCAAGTGAAAAAAAGGAAATATTGTTGGGTAAGGTGGTGTCGATGGTGCTGCCTGTCGTCTGCGGTCTTTGCTGTTGGACCCGTGTACCTTCAGCACTGAAACACTAATGACATATCTGGGTTGCTTATATACAGCATAGAAGTAATTTTTATTCCCTAATGACCAAATTGTATTTTCTTACTGCAAAGTAGATGCAGTAAGCCACTACTTGCTATGAATTTGAGAGGAGAGCTATCAATATTTGAAAAATTAGTGCAATATCAACTAGGACATGATTTTTTTTCCATTGTTCTGTGGTGAAGATAGCTGAATTCAAAGGAAAAGCAAGGGTAATTTCTTTGCAATTGATTATAATTTTATCCAGAAAAAAAGCCTAAAAAAAGTTTATGTTCTACTCAAAGACAAATATATTTGTGTGCAGTACATTGACACAGCTATTAAGAAAACTGTAATTCTGTAATGTTGCCAATATTACTAGAAAGTAGTTTAATCTGCCACAAAATGCAAACAACATAAGTGATATAATAAGAACAAGCTATATGTCTTAACATTCATAGAGTTGCATGCTCTGCTATCTTTTTCATTCTGAAACTGTCCTTTTAACTCCAGTGAGACTGACCCAGTGAAGCTTTCATAGCCATTTGCTTTATTTGAAGATAACTGTTCTAACAAAGTATGTATCACAAAGGCATCTTTAGTAGCTTTGAAATTGACTTCTCTGATGCTTAATAATGAGTGATTCAACAACTGTATTACTCTCATGGTTCATCATTTGTATTAATCTCATTTTATTATCTAAATTAAAATTTAAATAATTAAGAATAAGTTCATAAACCAACTTCTTTTTGAAGCAATTTTTTCTTTTCTCTTAAAATTATGACAGCAGTACAGTAGACATTTGTATTTGTATTATAGAATACTTTTTGTAATATTTGTCAGTAAGAATGTATGATTTTTGTAGAGACAAACACATAAAAGGTATACTTGAGCTCTTTTGAAGGGGCCCATTATCTTTTAAACAATTATTTCAAACTTTTTTGGCTTTAGACAAGCTTTGTCAGTCAAGGCCATCTAAAAGTTTTCTGAGTATAGATGCTCATGTAACATCTTCATGAAACCTACTGTGGAATCAAGTTAAAGATTTAATATGTATCACAGTTTTTAAAATTGGCACACATGGAAACAGCAGTGAACATGCAAAAAATTAACATGAAACCAGAACATTATTTTTAAAAATCTTTAGAAAAACAACCATAGCTGTGGTTTCTGTAGAGGCACACCAATAGTATGCTTCATCTGTCACTTATTTTAGATACCTGCTTAAAATGAGACTATATCGTACCTATTTCTCTTCATTGATTATAAAAGATATCTAGAGTGACTAACTCAGAAATATGTGTCTGTGTTCAGTCACATTAATTGTATCCTTATGCTCTGAAATGGCCCTTAGAAGAATGATGTTTGGTGCGTAGTGTAAAATGAAGCCTGTCAATGTATAAAAAATGTTGTGCTGCAAGCATGGATTTCCCAAGTCCGTATGAGCCCAGAGTATTGTAAAATGATGTGAAGAGAATGATAGAAACTACAACTACCTTATTGATATCTGCCAATACCTGAGGTAAAAACTAAGCAAGACAATCAGCCAAGATATCTGAATTTGAATCCATAAGAGAAATACATCTGGTCCTTTAGTTGCTTGGTATTTAATCTAGAACCTATTAATATGTACAATATTGGTTAACTGAACTTGCTACATTTAACAAAAATCTCTGTTGCAGATTACTTAGTTATAGAAAATCCATCAAGTAAGTTTATTAAAGATTTTTATGTTGTGTTCATTGGTGAGTCTCAATGTGTGGTTCCCTCTTCTATGTTTATTAGAAAAAAACTCCAAGCTGCGTATAAATCATAAAAGCATGACTAATTGCATGGTAACTGGAGAAATGCGTTCTCTCTCTCTGGGGTGAAGCCTGCATGTCTGTGTTTTAGCTTGGGAAGTAATACAGGGATATTTAAACTCCTCACGATTTAAAAACCATGTCATTATGAGAATGAGGTCATTGCAATATTTTATAAGTCTAAAACCTTGCAATGTATAAAATGTTTTCTGTGCAACAAAGACTTATGTACTGTAGAATGCAATGATAACTTTACAAATTTACTTTAATGTCAAAACTTCACCTTGAAATGCTGTTACCTACAAAAACAATCATATGCTACAGGACTTAACATTAGCAACATAAAAAATTTTGTGAGGGGGAACAACAAGGAGAAAAAGTATTTCTATTTTAAGTGACCAAAAGGAAATCAAATAAGCACGCTGTAAGCAATTTATAATTTTCTACCCGTAAGTATCAGTTTCTATTGAACTGAAAAACTTTGTTTATTAATAAATTGCAGTTAATAAAAAGAAGGACAAAGACATTCTCTATGGGTTTCTAAATCTTCTGTCATTACTTTCAGGCCAATAAGCAAGAAATCCTTCCTACAGCATGTTGAAGAGCTTTGTACAAACAACAACCTAAAGTTTCAGGAAGAATTTTCGGTATGTTGCCAGCAGTTGTCACAACATGGCAAGACCTTCAGTCGTTTCATGTGTCACATTTCATGTCCATTTTAAGCAGACAAGGCCGTGAAGGACTCTGGCCTTGATAATCAATACCCAATTACCAGGTTGATTGTTTAGAAAGTAATATTACACTGATTTGAATTCTGCTGTCTATACTGCAACCTTGTCAGAATTATTCACCTTAGTGTCAGCAAAAGATGATCTTCTTTAGACTTCAGCCTTGGCAAGAACACCATATTTGTGCTTTTATGTGTATAGTGATGCATATATAGTTTACCTAAGAACAGATTATTCAGAGTTTTCTAACATACATACAGGTATATTTAACTGCTATAAATATGTTCGTCTTTCTGAGTGATGGTGACTCCAAAAACACAGTTAGTGTTTATTCTGTGACATTTTCAGGCCCGAGTCATACTGCTATGAAACTCAGAAATGTTTTCCTTTCATTGATTTCAGTGCAGAAAATAAAAAGTTTGGTCATGATACTTTGCTTTTTGTTCCTCTTACAAATAATGTCATCCTTGTTACACTCTTGAGAATAGCTTCCATGTGAATAGCCTCCATCTCTTTATATGAGCAGATGAACACAGCAAGTCTGCCTTTCTTTATGAAAAGAGCCTTGGTTTCAAAATATACATTACAGATAATATAATGCATATATAGTTTCAAATTTATATCTCAAAGTTTTCACTATTTTCATTAAGTCATATTTTACGGCTATCATATTTTTTCTAACAATATCTTCTCATTATTTCAGATTCTTTATCATCATTATCTTTTAACACATATAGTGTTATTTGCCTTCCCAAAAATAATTTGTCAGTGTCCAGTGAGTTTATTATTTTGGATTTTAAAATTTATCATTAATTACTTACCATTTGGATTTACAAAAATGAAGACTTAACAATTGGCTTTTCTTCTGCTCGATTATAATATTTCAGTTTATGAGGGAACACTAACAAAAGTGTTTAAAGATTAATGGTATTTCCTACAGCTTTTTTGTTATGCTCATTAGGTAAAATTGGTCTGGATTTAATAATAAAAATCACCATAAAATTCTCTGAGAAAGAAAGTAAGAACTTTTTTTTTCTGAAAGTAGAAGTGTTATTTCACTTGAACAAGAATGATTATAGTTACATTATGCATGACTGAACAGATGAAAGGTTTTACTAGCAATAGCGTTTTCACATATTAACATTCATTACTGGAAAGTTTCTAGTATTACTTTTTTTAGGTGTGACCCACAGTGAGTAAGCCTTACGGTATTGTAATGCCTTAAATCTTAAACAATAGTGTTTTATCAAATCAAAATCTTTGTATTCCATTTAAAATTTAGAGAAATATAAGAAACTGAGGCCTCATTCAGTAAGTTATAGAGTCAACTTATAATAAATGGGTTTATATGCCATTTAGACTTCCAGTAGTTTTTCTCTCTGAGCTTCAGCTTCCATGTTTCAGAGTGTAGTGAAATCTTCCCAAATGACTTGTCCAAGGGCAGGCAGAATTTCCAAGTGGGTTCAGTCCATGATTCAGAATGTATCTATAGTATTTGCAGCACATCTTAACAGATGAATAATAGGATTGACGGCGCACTTGAAACGACATCAGAAATGACAATGCTCAGAAACAGGCAATGCACAAAACAAACAATCAGACCTCATGATCTGCATTGTTTCTATCCACAAAAAACATGGTTTTGAGTTTTCCAACATAAATTTAGCTCTTTCCATTTCACTTAGTCTTGGAATCTGGGGACATTTCTGGTTTCGTCTAATCTGCTGGATTGACCAAGCTGCTGTACCAGAAGATCTCTAGCGTTCAATCTTGGTTACATGGGAACAGGACCTCTGTGTAAACATGATGAGAAGAGAATCAAGACCTCAGAATGGATCTGGATCCATGCCTTGTCAGAAAAGACAAGTTTAAAGAAACCATCGGGAGCCAAAGGGTGATGGGCACCACCCAGCTGCTATTCAAACTTCCAGCTTTCCAGCTGATTCACGTGGCTCTCAATACCTTTGAGAAATTAAGCTTTTCTAGTAACTGGCAAATTACTGAAACATAAATGCTTATGTAATTGGTTTATGATGAGTTCTGTTCATGAATAAAAAAGCGAAATACTTCCAAATGTATGACACCAGAGTGCCATAAAAGTACTACAGTAAACAAAATGCAAATTAATTATTTCAAAGTTTTCTGAGTCTGCAAAGAAATATGATTTCTGTGACAAGTTGTTATTGAATCTGGAAACCCAAATAGTCTTTCCCCTATTCTGAAAATAATAATTTAGACTGAAATCCATATTAATGCAGGGAAAATCGGTATGAGGCATTTGAGGACTTGTTCAGAAATGAAAACCTTGTTATGAAAATAACATCATCTGCTTCTCTATTTCTTCTCTACTACAAAATGCTGTCCAGCAATGCTACTTCTGTACTAATTAACTGAAAAGTTAGGACTTGGAGGAGTGAGGCAAATGAGGCAAGTTAAAGTTCACATGATATGGAATTCCATGGCCCAAAACACCTGCAAAATGCCATAGGCATTTTGTATATGTCCTTCCTTCATGCAAAATTCAATGACAAAAATTATGTGTAAGAGTTTCAGCTTTCTGAATAAGAGGAATTTTAATATCTCCACCCTTAGCTGTGTTTTACAGATATGGCTGACAAAATACTTGAATTAGCAATGAAAACAAAAAAACAACAGAATAAAACTCTCCTGGTTTTCCATTTTTCGTTACCTCTCTCATTTGTTTATTTGCCAATAGTTTACTTACTAGTAATTAAATTTTTTATAAAAGACAAACTGTCTCAAACACCTGAGAAAAACCACTTGAAAACAATTAACATTGAACCTGATAGTAATGCTATCTGTCCCACTTTTGGAAGAAGCCCATACAGAGGGCTCCTTTTATACCTTTTATATTAGAAGACAAATTTGAAAGGAATTTTGAAGAAGGGGTTACTTAATACAAGCAGCAAAATTTTCTATTGTGGTCATTTAAAGCGATCTTCTCCAAATCCAATTTCTTAACTTAGATGGATGTTGAAACAGGTCTTCCATATAACATTTGTCAAACAAAGGGAAAAATGTATTGCAGGTAATGACATATTTGAAATCTTGGCTTTTCTGGGTTTTCTATTGTCCTAACACCACTAAGAGATCATCACATCAATACAGTTTCTCCATTAACAAGTTATGAGGTTGTCTCCACTGTTTTAATCAATTTGGGAAATTATACCTATTTTTGCACACGAATGTACCCATCACATGAGTTCTTCAATATGAATGATTTATCCAACTCTGTCCTTCCAAATAGAACTAATCACCAGTTATGAAACTACAGTACAACCCAAAATAACTCTTCCTACCTGTTTCGCAAACAGTCCTATGAACAATAACTAATTGCCAGTTGTCTCAAGTTAATTAAATTCTCATCAGTTCTCATGCTGTGACAAGAACTGTCCCAAGCACAGGAGTCAGGAAAAGGCATTATTTAGGACTAAGGCTGAGTCAGTAGAGCAAGGTAACCAAGCATGTGACTTCATGAAAAAAAAACAGAAAAGAACTACAAAAGGTGATAGACTGACTTTATCCAGGCTTGTAAAGGTGAAAGTTCATGTAAGCTTTAATTGTTCATCTTGACAACATTGTCTGCAGTGCTACGTCTAACATTGCTGGTGTAACTGGTGTTGACAGTGAAGGTAGAATGCTCTGTAATGCTTCCAGTTGTTCCTAGAAATGCACTCTGTTACTATAGAATTTTTCCTCTTACTGGATGATTGTGCCATATTTTAAATTCACTTAAGGGCAAAAGTTTTCCAACAAACACTTATTCCTCTACAGGAACTTCCCAAGTTTCTTGAAGACCTTGCTTCAACTGATGCTGATCTGCCTTGGAACAGGTCTAAGAATCGTTTCCCAAACATAAAGCCATGTATGTGAGTCTACTGATCAACTTCCCCATTTTACTCTTTACTTTCTATAGTGCAGCATATATTTGGAATGCAAGTGTTTTTTGTTTGATCTGCTGTTGAAATGGCAGTTCAATCATGTCCACATTATGAAATAATTTTCTGTCAAGTAATATATCTTTTCTTTGTGTTTTTTAAAGACAGTTTTATTTGCAAGTAGCTTTAAAGTTGCTCTCACAAGCTTTAATATGCAGGTGCAAGAAACTGTAGCCTCAATAGTTTCTTAGCTTTGTAATTTAAGCCATGTAGCAAACTTTCTACCATTCTTGCTCGTTGGATTTTTTTCCCCTTTAGTAAGAAGTAATTTTTTTAAACATATAAAATCCACGTTTGTACATTTAGCCTGGTTATGCTTTCTTGTGGATATGTGTACATGTGCTACAAAGGTTCCACAGAAGATCAGAGTGACTGTATGATAACTTATAAGCCCAGGCTAGATATTATCACAGGAGACAGGAGTCTGTCTCTCTATACTCAACACTGCTTCATTTTTCAGTTAATAAGACAAGAAATGTCATTATTATTTTAGGCATTAGCTGTGATGTGAGATGGAGTGCATGGCATTCCTTGGTTAATAATGCTACATTCTGTGCTATTAACTTTTCAGAGCAGCTGTTCCTGCTACCTACTGCCTTGTTCAAGACAATACTCTAAGTTACAGTCACTAAAAATTTCTATTCATGAAACACAATGAAATACAAACAGACAAGATTCATGAATCTTTAACTTTGTATTCTAATTTGTTTTTAACTAAGTTGAGGATCAAACATGAAAATTTTGGTATTTCATATATGACATGTTTCTGCGTATGTACCATGGGACCAAATCAGAAACCCTCAGTTTGTTTTTTTTTTTAATAACGAGTTTACCTTATGTAAAATAAATAAAATTATGTAAAAATGCCAGGATCTGGCTCAAATCTGTGACCTGGGCAACAAGTACATAGAAAAAACTGTCAGATCCCTGCCCCTGCTGTCTGATTCACACAGAAGTTGTGTGTGCTAGAACAACATGGCTCTTAGTACACAGGCTACTTTTAGGCAGAGAATACTTCCACACGTACATCACATTGAAGGTTTTGGCACACTGACCATTTAAATTAAGACGCATTATATAAAACATGCCTGGAACATTAAAGAATGACAATACAGTAATGGAAATAGGTTGAATTACCTTTGTAATTAGTGTTCTGCTACGTCAAATATTGTTATATCAACAACAATAACAGTATTTTTTATTTATTAGCATCCCAGGAACACTTATTATTACATATTTCTATGTTTTTTGAACAAATCTTTTGGTTAACTAGACTTTATTTCCATGATAGATAATAACAACAGAGTAAAACTGATGCCTGACGCTGGTATTCCTGGATCTGACTACATTAATGCCAGCTACGTGTCTGTAAGTAGAAAGTCTCTCATATTTTTAATATGTTTGTTTTCTGGTAGAAGAGAGAGTTAAAAAATAACTTGCAAGAAGAACAGAATTCTAATTTTTCTTTCATTTACTACAGCCACTGTTGCCATGGCATTTTTCAAGTGACTTCTGTGGCACTGAGCATGACTAGTTAAAAATACACATTATTGTATTTTCATTGCTAAGCAATGATTTCCAGTAAGAATCAAAACTGTGTCCAGCAAATTGCTTTTTATAAATTGTCTCATACCATTATCATTAAAGACAATAGTGAAACTCCCACAGAGGTCAATTGTTTAGACAGGTGTTATTTGATCTCTTGGTTCAGGAGTTAGAGTTGTTTTGTATGAACAGGACAATGTAAAGATAAACTGGAAACTTTTGCAGAAATGGCTTGAAGTTTTGGCATGGCCCTTATGGAGGAAAATGCAAATAGGCTTCTTGAGGAAGAAACTAATACTGTATTTCTCGTGCTCGGCTTTCTTCCTAGACTTTTCATTTTCTTATCATGTACTCAGTAAATTCTTTATCTATATTTTTACCTGATTTTTTGTCCTGTTGAAGCTCAAAGTGTGAATTATAATTATGCATTTAATTTCTTTTAGCAGTGGCTGGTGATCTCACATGAGGTCAAGACTTGATTTGCATTACACATTTTTCAAACACATAGCAAGACATGCAGACTGTAGTCTAAACTGATAACACAGTGGCAAGTAGAAATAGTTATTTCCAGGTAAATGAAAGACATTCACAGAGAATAAGCAATAGAGCTGAGAGCATCTTCCTTTCTCATTAGAAAATGTTGTTTATTCCCTTTATATGGAATATCTTTGTTCTGACAGCAGATAGGAAGATCCATGCCACTTGATGCTGGGACTATACACAGAAAAACTGAGAAGGCAAACGGACAGCTTGGAGCATGGCCTAGTCTTTACCCTTTCTATCACTACCTGACACGTCATGTCTTACGCAGGGAACATGAACAGCAACTTCCAAAAAGCTGCAGCAAAAGCCAGTTACAGAGTGTTCCCTGCTGAGATTTTGCTGGTCTTTACTGCATACAGGCATCTCACTTTGGGACACCATTCATCAGTAAATAGACAACTCTGGTGTTACCATTTCTCAAGGCTAAAGCTTTGCCCTTTAAATGCTCTCCGTATTTGTAGATGTGTAAATATATAAATGCATATAGCTGAACCTCTGCAATATGTGTATGTATATATTTACATACCTAATTATTTAGGTGTATATGCATACACACGCAGGATTACTCTAGAGGAGAAAAGACAACGCAGAAAGAATTGTGCCTTGCAGAATATACCACCTAAGGAGTCTTTCTGCTGTGCCTTTTGCAACTGGACGTGTCTATCTCGTATTGACCTTTTTAGCCACCAACATGCTTGTAACTAACATGGGTAGTGCCCTTCCCAAATCTTCGTTCGTGAAGCCTAGCCATGATATACATATGCACAAACATAAAGAGAGGAAAGGAGAAGTCTTGCATATAGTTTTAACAAATGGGAACTCTGCTGCTACTTTTATTTTCATTGGTTAAACAAGAAAAAGTCAGTAACTGAACTGTGAGCTTTGCATCCCTGAATCATAGTTTCTCACCTCACTCTCAAACTGGGGAGGATTAACATAATTTCCCATTTCCACCTGTTCTTTATATTATAGATGGAGTAAGTAACAGGCAGCTGTGAATTATAGGGCTATAATTCCAATAAGGAGCTTTGATGGTGCTATAAACGACTGTGTCAGTTGTTTTGAGCAATAAGCAGAACTCTGTGATATTATAAACTGCTAGTACTACAGCATAAATTTATTGTTATTATTGTTATTATTTTACTTTCTGTAATACATAATAGTTCCTCTATGTATGCTTTGTTTCTTTGAGGAAACAGATCCAAGTGAAACCACGCACTGACAGCACTTGCACAGATTTTTTTTCAACAAACTTCCTCCCAAGTTTTACGTCAATTTAAAAATGAATTAAACAGTAGAAGACAACACCAAAATAAAAGTCAATGTCTACAGTAGGTTTCTCGAATACCTTTTATGAGAGATCATTTTCTTTGAGTAAGCTCCAGCCCTAAGTTACAGCAGATCCCTGATGAGCACAAGAAGAACAAGGTCATCAGTGGAGTGTATCTTGCACTGGCTCTCAGACTGCTCCTTAGTTGTTTCCCTGGTTCCACTGCTCCTTTGCACTACGTTGGCCACCTCTTGACATAGTTCTTGGTGGACTCTGCCTAGATCTGCAGGAAGGCTAGTATGAAGGCTTAGATACTTTTAATTGGGAATTGATGACCTGATATCCCTGCTAAATGCATTTCTATTAGCATGGCATTCCCCTATCTCTGACTAGGTTTTAGCCTTAGGCATGACAGATACAGGCACAACTATGAGTCACATGCAAGCTCCTTTTTTTCTTTGCCAACAATTATGTGTAAAATATTTTCTTTTTCTTAGGGTTATTTATGCCCAAATGAGTTTATTGCAACTCAGGGACCATTACCAGGAACGGTGGGCGATTTCTGGAGAATGGTGTGGGAGACAAGAGCTAAAACACTTGTGATGCTTACACAATGTTTTGAAAAAGGACGTGTAAGTTACCAGTGTACCAATTAAAAGCATTTGATATAAGTGGAAATTCTGTATGTAGTTTCTGTCAAGATTATAATACAATACTGTTAATTAATTAGTAATCATCTCCCTGCAGATAAGATGTCATCAATACTGGCCAGAAGATAATAAACCAGTGACTGTGTTTGGGGATATAGTGATTACTAAATTGATGGAAGATATTCAAATAGACTGGACCATCAGAGATCTAAAAATTGAAAGGGTAAGCCAGAACTGGAAGTTGATTTTATAAAATCCATCCAACACCCCAAAGAATATCAGATGTGCTCCATCCCACCCAACTACCCCCTCAGTATTCTTCTTTTAATCTTTTAATGCATATACGCTGTACTACCTGGTTGTCCTGCACTTTGTTCTCATTCATGTTTTATTTCCTGAGAATTTCTATCACAAAGAGGTCAGATATCTTTCTGACAAGCTTTGAAGGGCCTATCAGGGTTACTGAAACTCTGATATGGTGGGAGGTGAGGTTTCTACTTGGGCACCTCAATTGTCTCTTCTAGAAAGGAGTAATCCTAGCCATTCCGGAATCAGACAAATCCCTTTGAATATATCCCTCTCAGATTAAAGGGAAAGATTCTCTGGTGCAGCTGTTTTGCATTGTACCACCAGCCGTTTTGACCCCCACCCCCAGGAGATGCACCCAATATAAATGAGAATCATCAGTATTACTCCCATTCTGTACTGGGAAGTGAGGGTAGGGCTGCAGCGTAGATCCGCGACTATAGTTCCCACTCTTTGGGAAAATTACTACCCAGCATTAAGTCAGAGCAGCAGGTAGACTCAGTAACAGTCTGGGAATAATGACCCAAGATTAAGTCAGCCTTTTTATGCACCCCCAGCCTTGATCTGTGTTGTACATAGTGCAGCCAGATCCTAAGAACTGAACTTGGCTATCCAAATGCACGTATTACCATTCTGTGGCATGTGCATGTGACAAAAGGCACACAGGGGTTAAGGGATTGTCTCAGTGGTCACCCAATAAGGATATATTGTGCACATAGTACAGGGCAATTGAACATTTAAAAATGATTGGGAGAAGATAAATCCTTTTTCAGCTAAAATAGAACATAGAGTAAACAAGACTAGAAAAGGGACTATTAAGAGTAAAAGAGCATGCCAGCAAAATGTGAAGTCGCCTGTGTTAACCAGGGAGAGGCTGAGAAGATAATCTGACTTGACTAGGTGATCCATTTACTATAGGTGAACTACCCTGCACAAGAAGTTATGCCCTTTACAAGCATGCCATTAAATGTGCCATATTGCTGGTTTTAAGATTGTACTTCATCTTCCCTTCACAAATGGGTGGATTCTTCATGATCCTCCACTGAAGGTAAAAAGCATATGTGAGGCAAATAACTCAAAATTATTGCCATATTGCATCTCTTTAATTTTTATGTTGATCAATTAAAAAAAGCATAGACATGAAGTAGTTTCTACACATAATTACTCACAGTTGTTCAGTGTTTCTTGCAATATGAAAGGAGCAAGTGATTGATTCAAAAGAAATTTAAAAAAAATAGGAACTGGCTCATTACACAACAGTTTATTAAACTGTGTTACTCCTTGCTGCAGGATATTGTGAATGCTAAAAACTTACAGGGCTTCAAAAAATCTTCATAATTTAGTAGAAGAAAATTCTGACAAGTACTATTAAATTTTGAGATACTGTCTCTGGCTAAATTCACAAGTCACAAACTACTAAGGATATTCTGGGGAATATAAATACATTGTTGTAGTGTTTTATAATGTTCCCTAATATTTTTCCTTAACCACTGTTGGAAACAGGATATTGATCTTGACAGGCCTTTGGCATAATCCTGTTTGTTCATTTTTACGTCCTTCATAAACGATTTAGATATCAGATCATAATCTGCTCTTCTCTTTAGATTGCTCTTACTGCTACTCTGATTGAGAGGGCATCAAACACTTAGAAAATATATCAGTGTTTACCAGTGTATGTGTGTTTGCCTTCACTACACCGGATCAGTCTTGGGAGTGGTTGCTTTTTCCTAAACAAATTTCTCATTCCAGTTCACTAATCTTCTAAACGAGCCATAGAAATTTCAACCTTCAATCTAAAAATTAGATTGATATAGTGACTGAAGTCAAATGGAGAGTGACTACCAAAGTCATTAATAGTTCCTGAAAGATGCACTTGATGCCATCTCAAAAAAACCCCACCTGCCATAAGTTCTGCGCACAACAAATTATTCCTTCATGCCAGTACATCTTATAATTATTATGCTATTCTGACTATTTTTTACATAAAATTTTTGAGAAGGCTATATGTGACTTACTGAACCTTCTGTAATATTTCTTCTGTAAAAATTACATTATTTTATATTTTTCAGCATGGAGACTGCATGACGGTGCGGCAGTGTAACTTTACTTCTTGGCCAGAACACGGAGTCCCTGAAACAACTGCACCAATTATCCATTTTGTAAAACTTATCCGTGCAAGTCGAGCACATGATAACACACCAATGGTGGTTCACTGCAGGTAAGCACATTCACCAAATCATTGTTTAGTGTCTTAGAATTTCAAGTGCATATTAAAGTGCAGGGAAGTTGCCAGAAGAAAAACAATGAAGACTGAGTGCACAGACATGGTTCTAGTATGGACAGCAATGAAGTTTCTCTAGCAGTTCTTAGTCCTTTCTGGGAGGTAAAATGCCGAAGTGTGTCTGTTCTTTCATTCATGGAAATCCATTGAGGTGACGTTAGTGAAATTATTGCTTCAACAATTACCATAAGGTACTCCTGGATTTATCTCTGTTTTCCTCTTTAAACATAAGAATAGGAATAGCAATGGCACGTGTTTATTTAAATTACTTCTATTATGATTAGAGCTCTTCTTAACAAATAAGTATTAAAAATGTATTTATAATGTACATGTCACATATCATAAGGAAGAAACTATTTGGAAGCCACAGAGAATGACAAATAGGAATAAAGGTTTGCATAGACCACATTTCAAACTCAATTGCCTATAAACAGATAAAATCTATATTTAGACTCTTAAATAAATGGTCTGGTGGTTAGAGGTGTTCAGCTGTCATAGTTCCAATTGGTTTCAAACTCAACATCCTTAAACCGCTATTTCAAAGAGTAAGTGTGTGAGGAAGGCTGTCTTAAGGAAAGTGATGAGTGTGTCTGCATTTTTTGTGCAGGTTGGTGTTCCTGGTGAATGAGTGGGCACACTCCAAAATAGCGATCTGAACTCAGATTTGATTCTTTGCCTCATTCTCACTTGATGTTAGGAAATATGTGAAAGAAAAGCTGGCTTTGGTGCCACAAATCTCTGCCCTAACTACCCACTTTATCACGCATGGGAGTTCTTTTCTTTTGTCCTCAGTGTCCTAAGGGTGCCACCCATGATGGATGGTAAAGCCTCATTTATTAGATATCGTCTTTGACAGACATTTGCCTATACTGCAAGGGCCAGAGAGACTATTACAGGAGAGAACAACACACTCTTCATGTTTTCAGAACACTGGCATTCTCTGGAATCCCTCTGCAATGAATCCTACCCTGTTTTCAGAACGCAGATATGTAAAGGGGCCACCATGGGCCAGATACTCCACCTGTGCTCAAATTCCTAATGTTTATAAAACTTCATTATGTGTTTTCATATCCAGAGAACTCATTTATTGCTTTCTGGTCGTTAGTTTTGCAAGTTCAAGAGTTTTGCTGTATATCTCCTGATTATCTGCAGTGATATACCCTTCATTTATTATACCAGTTGCAGAGAAGTCTGATAGTGATTTTCAGAAAATCCTGTTCGTTATGAGGCCTTTAAATAAAACACTAGCTGCTAGCATGTCTTGCACACTTATCCTCCTTTTAGAAGTATTTCCTTTAAAATGTTTTGCTAGATCCCATGTAGTTTTGTGTGAAATACCAAAAGTATCTCAGAATCCAAGTGTGATTTTGCAAAATTTTATCACTTTTTTCTTTCCATTAGTGAGTTCTGGAAAACTCACACAAAAGCTGTAGAATCTTTTTTCCACTTAAACAGGTTTGGTTTAGTTATATTTCATTTGTCTGATGGAACCGCTTTGTAAAATCAAAATCAGAACATGGCTCAAATCAAGATGGCTCAAGATTTCACTTTATTGCATTCAGCAAGGAGACACACATGTCACAAAATGTAAATACTGAAAAAAGATTTAGGAGTTTTTTCCGAAGTTTTCTTTTCACAATAAACTTAATTTATCTAGAATATTCTATGAAAATATGAAAAGCATTAACATAAAGGCTTTATTTTATCTGGTGTATCATGTTTGCAGTGCTGGCGTTGGAAGAACAGGTGTTTATATTGCACTTGACCATTTAACCCAACACATAAATGACCATGATTTTGTGGATATCTATGGACTTGTAGCTGAGCTAAGAAGTGAAAGAATGTGTATGGTACAGAATCTGGTAAGATTTATCTATTTTACTTTCCTGTTGTTAAAAAGTCAATCATCTCATCTCCTGATCTACAAACAAAACTAGAAAGCTCATAATAATCAGCTGTATAAAACATTTTCTACCAAATCCTGCTTATATTTATTTCAAACAATGTGCAGATATATGGTCTGTATCTATTTAGGTATATTTGGCCAGCAAGGTCTTGACAAGTGCTGAAAAGAGTGATATTTAGACTTTAGAACTTACATAGAAATTTCTCAGTATTTGAGAAAGTTTATTTCAAGTTTTGGGTGAAGAACAGTTGTTAATATAAAATTGATTTGCTCATTCATTGACTTTATTTACTACTTAAATGTAATTTTTTTGTGTATGGATATGTGGCATAGTCCTCTAAACTTTTAAATATTTATTTACCGCTGAACTCATTATTGATTCCTTGATTCTGTTTCAGTTGCATCAAATAAAATAGCACATACGGATAGATTTAAGCACAGACTTCAGTGTTCAAAATCAAGGCAATGGTGGGTTTGGGGTCTAAAAAAAGTACATTTCTAGCAGATTTATTCAGTATGGATATAAGTTTGTGATGAACTGCTGGTGAGGAAGACCTCTGCTATATCTGGAATTCTGAGTATATGTAAAGGAGTAATAGAAGAATTTAAAGTTGATCCTAAATGTCCAGTGGAACAGAAATTAGCTGTGTTTGCATAAGGCTTCTGGCACAAGTCTACTGCAGGCCAGATCTAACTCACGACCTGAAGCCTTTAAGTCTACAGAACAACTCACTACCTTCTCAGTATGGATGAGTAGTTTCAGGATGAACCTTCTCATAACTGATGGATTTAAAGTGATTTTAATGTAAGGAGACTTGCTCCACTGGGAATGCAATTCTGCTATTCCTTATCACTGCAGAATATATGAAAAATGTGTCAGAATATACAAAGCAGTTAACCTCTCTTCAATAACTGCACTTCAGAAGATTTTGCAAGACCTCCTGTGATACTCTGCCATGATATATCTTGTAAGGTGCAGTCTGATTACCATTTGCTTTAAATTTTCCTGTTTGAAGCCTTGATGAAATTAAACAATTGCCAGGACTTTCTTGTGATGATGAATCCTGGGAATGCTTTTTGGTTGTTGTTTTACGCTTTTGACTAGAAGTAGAATTGTCTGAAAATAAATCAAAGGCTAGAAGAAAATTTAATGGGAGCACTCCCAAAATAAAATATTTAAATGATAAGACATTAGATAAGATCAATGTACATTTTTAAAATATGTATAATTTTTGTATACCTCCTCATGCGCATATTTGGGCAGGGACTAGGAAAAGGTGCGCCAAAATGCTATACAAGATGATGGTGTCATAGTTCTGATTTCCTAACAGATCAAGTATCAATTTATATGCTAGTTGCAAAAGTCTGAAACAGGTTGTTCTCTGTCCAGGTCATTTCTAACTCATGTTTGCAAGACTACAAAAGTCAGATCAGCAACAAAACTTGCCCAAAGGGAATCAATCTTGTAAAGTTTTATGGTGGGTTGCTATTCTGAGAGTTCTGCTATAAAATACTGTTGAGTTGCCTATTAATCAGATTTTATGTGATCAGCACAAAAGATATAAAGAGAGGAGCAATTCCTTCCCAGGGCTCAGTTTAGAGATCCATCAGTCAAACTGTCTGTAAAATCTATGGGTAAAATAAGTAAAAACTGCTTGTTCTCAGACCTGTATTTTGCTTGTTTATAGCTTCAAAATAGTTTTTCTTTTGCAAACAGTAGCAATCTGTTACTGTAGCCAATGGATGCAGAATACGGATGCAGTTAAGAATTTCATTGATTCTGGGAAAATAACTTGTTACACATACATTGCCCAGGTAGCCTCTCCCCTGACAAACCCAGAAAGATTTTCATTGGTACATCAGAGGCAGCTGTATGAATACAAAAGATTACAGAGCTTTCAGAGTCTGCCTTCTGAACTGGAATAACTAATCTAAACTCCACCGAAACTTCAGACCTTCATTCTAGAAATCCATATTTGTCCAACAGACATGTTAAAGTTTATCTTGTTGCCAAGTACAAAGGCTAGTTTGTACAAAGTAATGCCACGCTACTAGTTTAGTAAGAAAGCTATTGAAAAGTGTAATGGTACCGTGTGCTTCAGGGGCTTATGAAAGACTGTTTTAATTACCCACAGCTCTGGAACTGTGAGCATAAAACATATCTGTGTAAGAGATTTCTCTTATACATCTGAGATACTTGACTTGAAAACTGATGGCAGTTCTGAAACAAAATATCAATTATTGAGCAAAAAAAAATTACTTATTTTTACCTGGGCAAAAGTCAACGATAACAAAGTGATTTTGGTAGAGATATTCCAAATCTGTCTTGACAAGGTTCTGGGAAACATATTTTAGCTGACACAGCTTGAGCAGTGGGTAGTTGCACTAGATAATCTCAAGAGGCCTCTTCCAACCGGAACAAATCTCTGATACTGTGATCTGGCTTGTTTTCTGCATCTACATATACAATACTTCTTCTATGTGAAGATACGCTTAATCTATTTATTATATTTCTATCTATTTTCATTCCTTTATTTCATTCTTACATTGCCTTATTTTGTTCTTCTCTTTTCAGACTTTATGTCCTTGGAAGTGTCAAATTAACTTTAGTTGCCCATACTTTGCATTATAGTCTGTTAAAAATGAGGCTACAGTTCAAGAAGTATCACTAAAAATACTGTGGTTTTTTTTTTTGCTCCTAGCAATGGTGCATGTTCCTAGAACATAAAAGTTTAGCTTTACTTGAACTTCTGCATTTGAGTGCACCCTGCTGGTTTTCTCTGTGCTAGAAAGAGGGGAATTTTCTTATCTAAATATTACGTTCATATGGTTCAGTTTCTTCAGTCTGAATCTAGTGGCAAAAAGTCTTTTCATAGAATGAACCTTCACAGAAAATTGTCGAATAGCTTATTAGTCTCAGTTATGGCTAGTGTAATTTCATATATCTTGCTGTACATAAGGATTAATATGTTTTGACAAATTTTAAAGCATTATGCTTCATAATGAATGAAATCAGATCAGGCATATATGATATGGTCACTGAAGTACTGAGATTGCTGAGTTAAACTGCAGTTACTTTGAGAATATCTAGATGTTATAAAAAAGTAAAAGACATTTTGGTATTAGAAGTACATCTAATCAAGCATCTTTAAATTTACATCTTACAGGCACAATATATATTTTTGCATCAATGCGTATTGGATCTGTTGACAAGCAAGGGAAGTAGTCAGCCCATATGTTTTGTAAATTATTCAGCACTGCAAAAGATGGACTCTCTGGATGCCATGGAAGGTAAGGAGATACAAACTGTCTCAAAATCATTTTTTCATAGACTTTTCCAGATTAAGAAGCAGGAAAAAAGTACTTTGACATTCATTTTTTGGCTTCAAAAATGTAAATTTCTAACATTTTGCTGCTCTTTATTCCTCATAGTAATAGCCATTGCTCAATCTTTCCACTTTTTTTTCCCTGCAAGATCTTTTAAATTCAACCAAAAATAGTTATCTGCCGTTAGTTACTACTTGTTTACAACGTAGGTTAATGTAATGTGTCTGTTTGTTTTGTAGGTGATGTGGAGCTTGAATGGGAAGAAACTACCATGTAAATACTAAGAGTAAACATGAAAGAAAATGAGATTTTGAAAGTTAGACATATTTTTCTAAGCACAGGGGCCAAAGTGAATTCCCCTATTTTGATGATTAAAGCAAACACAGATGATCAAAGCATCTTCTCTTCTATTAATGTGCCTTCATAAGTTGAAGTATTTTATTCAGAACACTGAGCAATAATGATTAGGAGTACTTTTGCACAGACTGCACTTCTGGTGTTATATGAATAGTGCACCCAGTATGTATAAAGTGTGTTTGAACATATTCCTTTTGTTTTGATTATCTTTGTAAAAGAAAAACGAGCCAAATAAGATGTAAAAATATCATATTCCCGTTGAACTTTTTTTGGTGTGAATTTGATGTGTTCTGCATGTTTTGGTTTTAAGTAAAAGCTACAGTTTCTTGAATCATTCTTGCTAGATTGGCTTCAGTGTTGTCAGCTCTTGCAGATTAATTCCAATACCATCATAATGATCTTTACATAACTGTATGCTCCGGTGTTTTGAATATTTTTTTTACAAGTGGTAGCATATCAGCTCATGATCCTGAACAGCTGAAGAGTCACCTTCTGACATGGAAAGGATTATTCAACTCTTACACAGCACACAGTAGCTCTTCAGGGACACTTGGGGCTATTTAAGCTATTTAATAATCAGCAGGTTGTTTTTTTAAATATATAATGGTGATTGCATATGTTCAATGCAGAAGAAAGTATTTAACATTCCTGCTACTTTTTCAAACAGATAAAACAAAGTAAAACTATAAATCTATTATCTATTACAAAGAATTTTAGATTGACTTATGTAAAAGAATGTCTAGAATTCATTCACATTTCTTGAATATAATACTATTCAGTATTTCAAAAGATTGCTCAAAATGTAATGTCAAGACATTTTATGACAGTGTTGTCAAGTAAAAATGTTCTTGCTCCTTCCTCAGGTTTGGCATCACTGTAGACACTGAAAATTATGGGAGCTAATATTTGGAGATTTAATAAAAGGAAACATCTTCCACTTCCACTAATGATGATGATGATGATTATTATTATTATTTATTATTATTGGAAAGAGATATGAAACAGGAATGAGAGAAGCGGGAAGCTCTTATCAGAGAAGCAGAGCAAAAATATGTAGAGTAGGAAGACTAGAGAGATAATTAAACTGTGTGCCCTAGTGTTGCATGGAAGTGACAATATTCAATTGATATTAGTGGGGGGAAGGGTTGATTGCTAAGTTTTTCTCTGTGTAAAGAAATGTATCATCATTCTGAATAACACTGAAAATGTGACCTTAATCTGAGTGCAAAACATAATAGCAAAAAGACTTCAGAGCTGCCATCTTATATTATGTTTAGACAGAAAAAATCAAAGATGCCTTATTGAGGCATCAAACTAAGAGAATTCGGAAAAAACCTCTTTAGAACCTTGAAATATGTATGTGAGGAGCTGTGGTTGCATGCACACACTCTGAATGGAAGAGTAAATGAACAAATCTTTCCATTTCTTGACTGTAGCTACCAGACGAAAATGCTATGCAATGTGTAACCTGATACTTTTCAGAAGAAAACGATAGTAGGTGCTTTTAGAAGCTGGCGAGATTGGTACAGTGAAGACCCTTTGTAATTTAACAGAAAGTGCTAAGTATCTAAAACGAAAATCAAAAGACAGTGTTTAAGGAGGTGGAAGTGGTCTACGAAGATATTTGGGCAATCTGTCTTTTAGGAAGATTGACGGTATTGTAAACATCACCTGTCAAGCTAAAAAGTAAACAATGCCTTTTAAAGCTGGATAGAGCAAGAGAGAGGTGATGTCCACAGCTGTTCACGTCTCTGGCAAAGCATTCGGTACAGCTCTAGTTTCATTTGGCTCCTATGAAACACGTGTTCTTCATTTATTATACATGTACTTTAAAGTATTCTGACAAATTGCTTATAGGGACTTACAGATGTTTTTCATCATTTGTAGTTGTACTTGGTAGCAGTACATGCTATGATAAATTGACACTATAGAGTCATAATCTTTTATAATTTTATATCCACAATAGTGGAATATCTGTATGTGTGCCATTTCTCTTTTGATTGGAGGAAAAATCTAAGAAGCCTTATGCAACTTACAGTTGAGCTCCAGAAGTTTCAAATGTGCTTAAGTGTTTTCTGTTTTTTATAAAATACTTAATGATGAAGACTCCTGTATACTCCTTTAGGGAACCTGCCTGTGGTCAGACACTGCACTTGGTAGTCTGGTGGTCTGACAACTTAGTAAGAGACCAGAAAATGTGCGTTTCTTTGCTGTAGAGGCAAAGCAAAAGCTGAAAAGTAATTCAAGTAGTTTACTGTACCATTTGATGTAAGCGATCTCATATGTTCTACCTTGATACATTTTGCATTGTCTTCAGGGTAAAAGACAATAATCATAATAAAGTGGCCACAACTCATAAGATATATGGTCAGGGAAAGAAATATCTCCAAACAACTCTCTCCAAGAACTGGTTTTCAGTATAAACATAGCAGTAGTTCACTGACCTTCTTGTGTCTGCCAATGCTTTACAGGGGTAGGAGAGCATCTATATATCAGAAAATTCCTCCAGACCTTGGTGCAGTCATGAAGAAAGAATTTCCACAGTCTCTTGTCTTTCATCCCTCCTTCCCTTATGCAATGACAGCTATGGTGGTTCTACTGACAGCACTGTAGAGCTGGAGGCAAGCAATTTCTCTTTTAAGAGTATGCGTATATAAATAAAGCAGCACACCAATTCATTTTTAATATCATCACTCGATTTTCTACAAATTCTTGTCATTACTAATATATCAAGAGTGTACTCTATCAAAATTAGAAAAGGAATAAATAAAAATTGGAGAAAAATTCAGAAATTCTATAGGATGATTCAGAGATTCTCTAGGATTATTGCAATTGTATTGAAACTAAGTCATACTGTATTAAATTATCTGGGCAACTTCTAGAGGCTGATATGTCTCCATACACAGAAGAAGCAGTCTTTATATATGTATTTATAGCCAGTTCTGCTGGACATCATTACGAGAGGCTACTGTCAGGGTCCTTAAAAACTGATCCGTTCTGTTCACAAAGGTAACAGAAAGACAGCAGAACATCACATTCATGTTGAATTTTAATCTTATACTGTTAAAAGAGTTGATAAAAATAATTGTGCAAAGTTGTGATTTTATTGTATATATGGAGCTATTCAGTAATTTAAATTCACAACATTATGTGAAAGATTAATAACATGAATTAATCTGTGTAATACCCTCTGTGTACTGCTGTAATACAGAGTATGCTCGTAAGCAGTTACTAAGACAAAGCACGAAAGAGCAATGAGTCAATCATATTTTTTACTAAGGTAACAAGACAGGGAGATTTCTTGGTTGAATACAGAAATCACAAAGCATCCTAGATCTGAACATGAATTTGCAGATTCAGGACACAGAGCCCTGCAAAATCTGTAAAGAGAAAAGATTTTCTCTGAATATTTTGACAGCAAGTTACAACAAAATTTGAGATGTACCTGTTTCAGAGGGTATTACATGTATGTTATAACACATCATTGTCTATCCATGAAAACAAATGATAAAAATAGATCCAAATTAATTTCTATTTTAAGACCTATGAAAAGTAATCAGTTAGCTCTCTGGTTTAGAGGATATGCATATGATAATAACGAATTCAGGGTTGTTTTATAATTAAACTACATGCCCATTCAGTGCTGAAAAAATCTGTAATGCCTTGAGTACAGTCAACTGTAACTGGAAACCACTGACACATAGTGCTGAACATGTCTTTGTCGATTTTGATTTTAAGGAAAATGTACTGAAAGGTGATCCACTGTTTCAACCACTTCTCTGTGACTGTTGTGTCACCACTCTATGTATGGTGTTGAAAAGACAAGTCCTCTCAACATTGTTCTCCATGGTTTATTCTTTTTTCTAATGCTGTATTGCTTGTCTATATGTGATTATACTAGAAGGAATTGTAAACAGTAATATGGATCCTCTGAATTCAAATACTGCAGGCATGATCTACAGGTGTGTAGTGGTCTTACTTCAAAACGTTTCTCTATCTCCTTCCCATGAGTTGATTTCCAAATGACATCATAGAATATCAGCTGCATTTTTGGGCTGACTCTTGTTCAATACATTTTCTGCCCTGCCCTATCTGTGGCTACAATTGCGAGGTATGAGGCAAGTGCAAACCTGCTTTTGTCATCTGTGGTCTCAGAGCTGAACTGTGGTATCGGTTGCATATCTTTGCAACATTGGCACTGTATGCAATTGTAAGGGTAAGCTGGCTTCCTATCCAGGAGTCCCCCCTACTGCTATAAGAAATTCTGGTATAAATTTTAGCACTGGTCATTGTTCAGTGTCAGCTGAAAAAAGTGTTTGATGTTTTGCATGGCCATTCTCTTCTCCCAATTACTTTTCCCAAACAATGCTGACCTAATTCTTATTTTAATTATTTATTCTGACAACTCCCTTATCATGTAGGCCCTTTTTTAGATTCTACTATGTAAAGAAACATGAAAATCAATGGCTTTTCAGCACTGAGTAACAGTGTATGATACATTTCATAGATCCAACATCAACAGGCAGTTTGAAATGAAGTTGTGACTCTGTATTTCAGTTGAAAGATAACATTTAGAAGGTTTCAGATATATTTAGATCATCTTACTCTGCTTGTTGATTAGTGTAACCAGGGTGATCTTTTTGTAGGATGACAGCTGCACCCAGCTATCCACTGTAATCATGAATAAACCATTCCAATACTCTTTACAGTCAATACTGTAAAAGCCGAGAGAAGTTTTACAAGGATGTTCCTGAAATATTTTGCAGGAGATGGAGTTCTGAATGATATAAAAAGAATACTTGGATACTGGAAACCTAATGTGCAACTAAAGCTGTGCCATTCACAGCTGCATTCCATCAAGCCTGCTGAGCAGGGTGTGTGTCATAGAACACACAGAGAATATTTGGGACAACATAACACAACCTTTGAGCTGAGTACTGCAAGACATAAGGAACTCTTGCCATCCATGCAGAAATGCACTTAAATAAGGTTTACTGTAAAATGTTCCTGGCTTACTTGAAAAACATAAGTGCAGGAAACACCTATTATTACAACTTGTAATAATTTGTGATTCAAGTTAGCGCTAGGAACCAAAGGAATCTATTTAATCAATTCTTTCACTAATCTTAAATATAGAAACAAATATTTTGACACCACAAGTGTGGAACATGGACAGATAGAATATAGACAAAGATTTTCTTCCACTAACAAAGGCACTAGCAGAAAAGTAGTTAAACCTCTATGTCCTGCTCTTTTCTTCAGTCTGCTGTATGCATGTGCTCACCAGCTAGGAATAATTTCAGATAAATAGAATTTATTCACTTTTAATTTGATTCATATATAGGTAATCTCTTTCTCAGAATCCAGCATAAAACAATTACAGAACATTGCTTTTTCATTTATCAGTCTACTGTTTAGATTCACAGTAGCTCCATTTAACTATTTTTCTTACAGAATTTTACTAATTCTCTGTCAATATTACACAGACAAAATACATAGTGTGAATTTGGGCTTACATATCGTGCACAGAATTCTTCATTGAGCTGCACTAACACAATATTGCACTCCAGACATGGGCAAGGAATTGACCTGAGGAGACTGACTGCCTAGCATGTAATCTTACTCCTTTTTGAGAACAGGATAGTTATCTGACTGTCCCAGTCAGGGAGTCCAGAAAATGTTTCCAAAGTTGTCTGACATTTATATGTAGGAGTTTAAACTGAACTTTTCTCTGCTAAGTATGAACAAGAAAAATCAGGACTATTACTGTTGCTGTTAGCAACTCATCTTTGCTGCTTAGGATACCAAGAAGTAAACCTCTTGTTTTACTGGTATTAACAGTGCTTTTAGCTTACAGAGACTTACTTTTGTCTTCTCAATATGCACTTAAAGTTTTGACACATTTCTGTCCTTTATATCGTTTTTTTTCTCTTTCAGAGTGGGGATTTGGAGATACTGACTTTTGAATAGTTACAGGTTGCCTAACAAATATATTGAGCTATCCTGATAAAATAACCATTTGAAGGATGCTTTGATAAAAAATGTTCTATAATAATGGCCAGATTATTGCAATTCCTCAAAAATATACCTATATCCTGTGGGGTGGCCATTATTGTAAGAACTTATCTACTAAATATGCTGTACACTAAGAGTGCAACTGAATGCTCATGAAGGCAGATACATTTATCACTTCTTGATTTTCCCTAAGCAGGTATTGGGGACATATCAGGTCGCTGGTTAATGGAGATTGTGTCAGCTGTAGTAACTCTGTTAAAATTTAATGAGACAGAGATTCCTCTCCTGCATACTGGTGTGCTCTCTCTGAAACCAGAAGGGACACCTGGCATCACTACCAGAGCTAACTGGTAGTCAGAGAAAGATGGGCCTCTCCTAGTGTGGGAGAAAATCTGTTCTTAGAGTCAAGTTTTCATGGACTGTGTATGTCTGAAACAAATCACTTAATTTCCTTGTATCTCAGCTCCCTACGCCCAAAAAATAAAAAGTAATTTAAAAAAAATTAAAAATTGTATTAAACCTTTTTCCCCCTAACATCTATGTGTCCTATGCATTTGTCTTTGGAAGCTCTGTGGCGAAACCAGTTTTTCCCAAAATGTCTTCGCACACCTTCTATCACAACTAAGAATACCATCAAAGTAATAAATTCTTTCTCCTATAATATCATCCCAAAACAAACTAAAAAATGGCCAGAAGATAGTCAAGAGCCACAATGGATGGCATCTTTGCAACACAGTGCTCATGCTTTGCTTTCCTTTCATGATTTCTTCAGTTCTCTCACCTTGACAATAAAGAATTCCAGTGGCTCTCCATATGGAGCTAAGAGAGACTTTGCCAAGAGCTAACTTTATCTTTCTGGAAAGGTTCCAGATGAGCATCTTGGGAGTACAGCATGTAGTTTTCACATTTGCCCTCTTTTTCAGTCTTTGGGAAAAAAAATTTCCTGGCTCTGTGTCTGGAATAATAGAAAAATTACAATAATTAACTGAAGATGCCAGCATTTTTAATAGCTTGTGATCACTGCTACAATATACCACAGTCACATATTCTTTATCAAGTACGCATACACGGGCAATACTCAAGCCCTTGAAACTAAAAGCACATCCAAACCAGTCAGGTCAGGTATGATTAGCTTGCTTCATGACCATCACATCTTGATCTACAGAAGTAATTGGTTCTGATTTAAAATATAAATTTTGGGCTGTCATATTATCTGGTTCTCCAAAACCAGGAAAAATGTTCACCAGTGTCATGTAAGGAGACTTCATGAAACATAAAATTTCTTCAGCAGCTGAAAGAGGGAGAATGGTTCCACTGAGAGAAAACTAATAAGCAAGTGTCAAAATGGGCAGCTGGTGTCAATTCCAGAAGGATTTAAAAATCAGACATGAGCTTGATAACAATGTATTAATGAAGCCAGTGTCTATAGGAGAACAACCTGGTACTTAGCAAAAATCCATTTTGAACAGTATGTTTGACACAGCATGTATTAAAATGTTTAGGAGAAAAGAATACTGTATTAATTAAATACAGAAATACTATATTTCATTGGTATCCAACATCAAATTATGTGTTTTGCTTTTTCCTGACAAAGAAATTCCAAACACAAATCAGAGTTGGCTAAAAAGTTCATCTTTCAAAGATGTAAATCTGTGATAAAGCCTTTATGGTTTTATTTCTAAGAAACTACAAATCAAGTGAAATGAGATTTTCTATTACTATTTTAAAATAATTCTTTATGATCTACGTAGGATATTTTCAATCACATTTAGGAAATCTACAGTATATCCTGTAGAACTATGTATAGTTCTGGAGAAGGACTGCAAGAATAATTTTAGTCTCTGTATTTCAGCAGAGGCTAGCCTTCTGCTGCACACGATTCAAATACAGTTTCCATGCCAAAGAAATATCACATGACTCATGGCAATGAGGGTCTGCTGGCATTGCTGAGTAATCCAAAGCCTGCCCTTGGGAGGAAGTGAGTCAGGGGAAGCTGTTGAGGCCAACATCATCAGAATAGCCCAGACACTCAGCCCAATCCTGTTCCACAATGAAGCAGTGAGATCACAGGGCAATCAATGCAATCTACTGCATGTCAGCCTTTCCACATGTGTGTTCTTCTCCTGCTTCCCTGGGTACCAAAGTTTTGAGTATGCTTCTCTGTGCCCCCCCCTCCCCCCCCCCCCCCCCCCGTTTTTTTGTTAGTTTGTTTTTGGTTTTTTTGTTTTGTTTTGTTTGTTTGTTTGTTAGTTTTTGTCTGAAGGTCAAAGAAAAAGGTATTGAGAAAGGAGTAATGACATAAAATAGGAGTTGAGTTACGTTAGAGAATTTCAATGACATTTAAATATTATAGTACTTAACTCTTGGACATCCTGTTGTTCAGCAGAATCCTTAGATGACAGGTAAGTGCTCAAACTCAAAACACATAGAAAAATAGCAACTTAAGAAATGTATTTTCAGAAATTATGAATGAAACTCAAGAAAAAACAAGGACCAATTACACAAAAATTTTACTACATAAAAGTAGCAAAGTGTATGTGTCCACACAGCTCTATGATTGTCATATCCTCTTGTTAAGGAATCATCCTCTAATTGTGATTCATTTGTTGTGTAATTCGACTGGAATTGTCAATTCTGATTTCCCCTTTTAAAAAAAAATCCAGGAATAAATCTCTAGACTTCGGTTTTAAGTACTCAAATAATACGTAGGAGACACTGATTTACTTTCATCCTCTGCTTGATTCAGAACAGGGAACTGTTTATCCTTGTTTACAACATCTCAGGCAAATATGCTGATCCATGGGCTAAGGTTGCCAGGGAATCACATATGCATTTTCTGTCTTATCCTGGTAGTGACATTTCCCAGAATATTCAGGTATTCCTTCAGAAAGCAATGTAGCCTGAGGGGGGCAGGCTCTCACATGAAATGTGGAAGGCAGCTG